TGGGTAACACATGTTGTATGCACATTTTGGGAGTCATCCCAATAAATTCTAAAAGGTCTCCAACACACAGTATTGGGCAGTATTGTGTGATTATTATTGACCACAATGCATACATGTGAATACACATATGCCGTGTTGTAGTACGTTTGCAAAAAATGGGTTAGGTATATTTGTGGTGTATGTGATTTAGCTTGGTAGGAAATAGTCAGATGAAACCCACTGTGTTGTTGATGCATCACCAAATGCACAAGAATGTGCACTAAAATGCACACGCATAGGTTTAAGTGCGCTCCCTAAATGTTGTCTCTCATGTTGCTAAATCTGAATGAGTCCCAAAGCAGACCTCCAAAATATCTAAGCTATCTTCCAAATATCGAAGCTGTCACATGATGCCTACACCCAGGGCCGGATTTACTCTCTCTGCTGCCCCAAGGCCAAGTTCCTCAAAGCGCCTCCATCCCCGCCCCAATGGAGAATGGCAACTAGATGGCAGGGTTGGTTTTATTTTATTTTTTTATTTTTCCCCCTGTGTGATAGCATTTGGAGGTGACAGATTGTCTTTATTGAACCTGTCGCCTCCAATACAATAGAGCACAGTACTGTGATCGAACTCCTATGACAGCTGAGATGGGAAGGCTGCGAGTGCAGTGTTCCCATGTCAGTGTTTACATGGAGCAGAGCAGAAAACATCCCGCTCTACTCCCCGCTCTCCATCCTGAACTACCTTGCCATGCCCCTGGGTCCCGCAGAAGAGAGGGGAACCCCGAAAACCACGGTGGAGAGTGAGGCAGCCAGGGATGAGAAAGGCGGCCAGAGGGGAGAGAGGTAGCGGGGGAGACAGACCTGCAGGCTTCATACAAGTGATCTGCTGTACATTTAGGTCTGCTCGCCCAAAGCAGGGCTAAATGTAGAAAAAAAACTACACACCCAGCGCCTGGAACTGCATGTCCCGGGCAGCGGGCGATAGGAATTCCACACCCTGCTGCCCCGAGGCTGGGCCTCGGTGGCCTTGTGGGAAATCTGGCCCTGCCTCCAGTGTCAGTTTTTCTCATCCCACCTTCTTTACACCCATGCCAATTTTGGCAAGGCAGCATATGCAGCTACATACATGTTCCAAGTATTGGCAATAATTGCCCTCAGTTGACCTAATATTGAGCCCAGTATTATATCTTTGGAGCATTTATTTTCCAGTATGGGAACATTACATAGAAACTGTTTTCTAGTATTGCTTTTGTAACCAGGTGTGGCTTACAGACTGACCTCTGTCTTCCTTCTGTGATTCAGGGATTCCATTTTGGTGAGAGTGTGGTTATTACTGAGTTTATTTTAATAGTGTGAAGTGCTTTTAAAGTCAGGATACCTTTAGTGAAACATAGGCTTATGACTTTGTACAAATGGTCAGACTCTCAGATGATTGCTTTTTTCACCCACTGTTCAGTGCAATGAGAGGGAAAATGCACCTGGACAGCCAAATGCTTGTTCATTTTCTCTCTACTCCATCACCAGACAAGTATAAAGCAAAATCTGCAATTTTATACTCTATGACTGACATTTTATTAGTCTGTGGTTGCTTTTGTAAATACTCTTTGAAATTTGGCACATAATTTTGCGGATAAGGAACTTTTAAGGAACAGAAAACATTCCGATAGATGGTATTTTTTAGTGACTGTGGTTAATGTATTTCAAAAGTTAAATTGTCTTCTTTCAGTAAAATAATACCTGGTGGTCCTTGTTCAGGCACTTCCTGTTATAGGGTGACAACATTCTGTCCCTGTCTAACAGTTGCGCTCCTACATTGTCACCCTGTTGTATGATCTTTTGATAGAGACTACAAGTGGCAGTTTTAACACGCATTACAAAAGCATGGTCCACTATCAGAAACCTGCCCTAAGAGGTACAATGCAGCCAGCTCTGGAATGCATGTATGGAGACAGGAAGTGGGTGCAAAGAGTCTGCAGGAGATCAGCAGCACAGAGGTGCAACAGCAGATAGAAAAAAAGGCAAAAATAAGTATTTTATTTACAAAAGAAATGGTGGTTGTGTATGCTATGTAATGCCTTAGCAAACTAGAGTTTATAAATACTTTAAAGTTCCACTGCCTTCTGAGCACAAGGTATGTGTAATAATAATTTGGGTTCTATGTTTTGCATGGTATATACATGTCTGCATGTAAGACCTCTGCTAAAGGTTACTGATTGCCCTAAAGCTGATCCTTGCCTGGCTGGAGCTACCTGTCATTCTTCACATTCTAAGAGCACACCTGTGACTTCCAGATGTCAGGTTATCCTGTCTTTCATGCTCTGGCAGCCTGTGTTCCTTCAGCTGTCATTCTGGCATAGTATCCGTATTAAATATATAACGGAAGATGCCAGTGACTACATATAATACAGTACTGGGGAATCGCCGATACCGGTTTTTCGGTATCGAGTAACGGTACTTGTGCCAGCATGGGGCCGGCTTCCCGGGCAATCAAGAAGCCAGGCGGCAAGTACTGACGCACCATCCGGCTTCTTGATTGCTCGGGGAGCCGGCTCCATGCTGATTGGCTGGGAGGGCTGCTTCCCGGCCAATCGGCATGGAACTGGCTTACCGGTCAATCGGGAAGCCGGGCGGCGAGTGATCAGCCACCGTCCGGGTCCCTGATTTTTCCGAGAAGCCAGCTCCATGTTCCCTTTGCGGCACAATCTCTGTACATTTGGGATATGATGGAGTTGTATGCACCTGTTTTGTACAGTAAGGGAATGTAAAGCTTCCCACCTGCTCAACATAGCCTAAAGGCTTAGATGGAATGAATCCGCTAACCAGCCTTATGCATTCTACTTAAAAAAAAACAAAGTTTTTTTGTCGGCACTGCCTGAATATTATACGAGTGCAAAATATTGTTCCAGAGGCTAAATGTACATCTTAAACATGTTAATGATTTTAATACATCTAGGGGCACCAAACAACTTTGAAAATACATCCTATTCTTTTTATCGTTTCTTTCACCATGCTATTTGCAGTAAAGGGTCAGAGCTGTGATCTGCATCAGAAGGTGGAGATCACTGCATTTTATGAATTAACGTTATTCATCAAACCGGTGCCTATAGACGTGAGATGATTGTATGCCCATCTAGAAGATTGGATGAAGGTCCCCATGTCTGCAGGGAAGTGCCATATTGCTACAGGCACTGCAACTGAATGATCTGTTTGATAGTTAGTCTCTCCCAAAGTTAAAGTGACACTAAACTCAGGAGTTGAAACTTATAAATGCATTCAAGTTCCCTAACTATTAACAAAAATGTATCGTATAAATCAGCTGTAGATACTGAAATCATCTTTGAATTGGTGCTGACACGTTTAGTTTACTAATTTGTATTTGAGATTGTAGTCCATTACGTAAGTGAACTTGGAGTGATGACTACTTTACAACACACACAGGGACCATGGGGAGCAAAAGTAGCCACCATCCAGAAGGAAGGACCATGTCAGCACCAATTCAGAGATTATTTGAGGGTCTACAGCCATAAGATACACAAATAAGATACATTTTTGTTAATAGGGTACTTGAACTCATTTGTAAGTTTTAACTCCTGAATTTAGTGTCACTTTAAGGGAGTTGTAAAGTCCCAGCACATACTATCCTTTTGTAAAATCATCATTGTAATAGAAATGCATACTAAAGTTGTTTTTCATAATGCAATCAAAGCTTACTTGAAAAATTATATTTTTTATGTAGTGAGTTCTGTCTTCTGTCTGCCCATCACTTTCAACAACTTTCTGGACTCCCAGTGTGTTTTGCATCGCTTCTCCTAATGCTTAACGTGATGTAATTTCCATTTACTGACTACATTTCCCATCATGCATTGCTATCAGCAAGCAATGATAATGTTACATTGTTTAGACGAGTTGTAGTTCAGAAGGCAGGCTCTGTGAGAGTTGTGCATACTCACAGGGCTGAAAGAAAACGTGTCATTGCATTGAGTAAGTACATCCTATGGGCATCTTCAATAAGTAAGTTTACAAACTTCTAGATTCTATGTGGTTATTAGAAGTGGGATATGTTGGATATGTGTTTTAGATGAAGCACTGAGATCCTGAGGAATGCTGAATTAGGTTTTACTTGCTTAGAAGAATATTACATCTGAATACTGCATTGTGAGGAAAACATATCGCTAGAAAAAACAGCTTCCTGTGTATCATAGATAAGCATTACCTAGAGAGTAACATTGCTCTACACTGCCATCTACAGCTCAGAAGACATATTAGATCTCAGAACATTATTATATCAGAACAGTATGTGCGGTTGTATTTCCAACAGGATAGACCTTATGAAAATTCAATATAGAAAAACATATTTATTTTTAGGTTGTTTTTTTTTTTTGCTATAGATACCCTTTAACTAGTACCATATGTGTCATCCTGCTCTTCCTATGAATGCTTAATCATTAAGATTAATGAAGGAATCAGTAGCAAGCTTAGACATTTTCAAGCACCAACAGAGAATGTGAAAGTGGGTCCCAATGCATTTGGGAGATGTGTTTATTTTAATGTTGCGGGCTTTTATGTGGTAGTGTCACCTCTTAATTTAGAGGGGGGCTTTAAGTCTGGTTTAGAATGGTTTAATTATTGATGAGTTTTATGACTAAGAAATCTTTGGCTGGTTTTGATGTTTTAAGATTTTAACGTTTTATTTAAATGCATTTAAAGTTAATAAACCAATAAAAGTGCCGTGGCCATTTTATCCAAATAGTTGGGTGTCTGTGTCTTTATTTAAAGCATGTAGTACCGCCTGCAATTCCATATGTAAGCAGTGTTACAAGGGTGTTGCAGGTTCACACAATTTGACAATTTGATTTAGGTTAACAAAATAATAATTTAAATAGCTTTCTTTGCTGTGATGAAAATGTACCCTTCGGACAGCTTTTTCATGTTGCCTAATGGGAATTAACCTCTTTGAATATTGAAGGCCTTTAGGCATTGACCTTTACTGTCAACAGCATCTCATCGTTCATCTCTTTACAGGAACTTTGACCGTATTATCCAAGGATGAGGTTCTTTTTCTTTGCCTCAGTTTTGCTGTGCATTGGTTTGATTAAAGACATCACGACCCGTAGGTCTCGAACCCGACGTGAGCTGGCCCCAGGACTTCATACTCTTGGAATTAGAGATCCAGGTGGCTCATATTGTCAAAAAAGAATTGCTTGCTGCCCAGGAAGAGATGATGCCTGTATTGTGCCCTATTTGGATACTATCTGCTACTGCGATCTGTTCTGCAATCGAACCGTGTCTGACTGCTGCCCTGACTTCTGGGGGTTTTGTTTACACATCAGTCCCCCAGTAGGTGTCCAAAACGGTAAGAGGAATATGAGCATGGTCACAATGCGCACAGTTAGTGTACTCCCTTTTTTCTCCATAGGGTAAAGACCTTTTGACAATTATTGGCTCTTGTTTTATTCTCCCTCTAGCATCTTGTCTTCTGTCAGGAGTTCAGGTATCCATGACATGCAAAGTTTCCTTGTTTTGCTTGTGGTTTGTGATCATACAAATGCATGTATTTTTCAGCATGGCCTGTGATGATGGAAGGGCTACATTTTTTGTTACAAAACAAGACGCGTAGATAGTAAGGCAGTACGACAGTAACACAATGTGCAAAGTGATGTAATCCATAGCAACCAAGCAGTCTTCAATCTTTATGTTTGCACAGTAAAAACATGGAAACCTAAATTAATAAGTAGGCCTAGATATCCCTTTTTTCCCAGTATGAATGGAAAAGTTACCTGAGTTAACATGAACCTGCATTCAAGTAACTTGACTATTAACATAAATGTAACTAATTTTTTCATTATTCAGCTGTAGATCCTCGAATCATCTCTGCATTGGTACTGACACTTTCCTTCCTTCTGGAGGGTGGCTACATTTGTTTCCCATGGTCCCTATGTGTTGTATAGTAGCCACAGCTCCAAGTTCGCTCCTGTGATGGACTACAATGTCATGTTTAGTTTACTCATTTTGTATTGAGAGTGTAGTCCATCGCGGGAGAGAGCTTGGAGCGGTGACTACTTTAAAACACACACAGGGACCAAAAGTAGCCACCCTCCAGAAGGCAGGACAGTGTCAGTATGACGTCACAGATGATTTGAGGATCTACAGCCGAGTGATATACAAATAAGATATATTTGTGTTAATAAGTTATTTGAATGTTAAGATTTAAGATTGTTTAAGCATTGTTAAGATTTAACTCTGAGTTTAGTGTCACTTTACCCGTTGCTTTAGTCAGCTGCACATATCATACTCCCCTTTGCTTAACTCTTATGTTGCTCAGCTTGGTGCTGATAGTGTAAATAAATATGTACAAATTTGGGTTTTGGGGAGCTTGTGATCCACTCATCTTCCTTCCTTGTGACTGCTAGTGCTTGGTGATTGGCTGCTTAGGCACCCAGTGCTGTCACAAGGGGAAAGAGTTATTGAGCCTGTATAAGCTTCAAGTCGCTACTTTGAGCTTACACAGGGCACCCTGCAACTAATAAGTGCAGCAGGAAGTAAAAGGAAGGTGGGTACATGCAGCTGGGGAGAGCAGCAGTTAAGTGACCATGTTGTTTTAATCTATATGACCAAAGGATAAGTTCATTTTAAAGTGAACCTATATGCATACTAAAGTATTTACATATTCTGAACTAGCTCTAGGGCTTCATGCACATGTGCGGCCAAGCATGTACAACATAAACACGGACATATTTTCCTCCACTTGAGAGCCACATGTGCTACATACAGACTCCCATAGATGTCAGTGGTTGTATGCAGCTGTACGTGGGTAAATGACGGTACTTACAAAGTGTATACCCATGTACTGCTGCATACAACCATTGACTTCTATGGGAGGCTGTATGGCTGTTGAGCTCAGTGGCAGGGTGGAAATATGCTGGTATTTACATTGTATGGGCTCAGCTGCCTGTGTTCATGAAGCCTAAAACAAGCCCTCAATTATCTCTATCTGTAAGGGCTCATTCCCATGGACTCAAGTACAGGTTTATTGGCATACAGCGTAAAACAAGCCTGTATTTGTGGCTCCTGGGATCCACAGCGGCTGAGTTTTTGAGCCCAATGGATTGTATGGACATAATACACTGTATGCGGGTATACATGTGTAAACGCTAGTACTGGCATTTACACACACACTTGTATGGGCAAAGAATACCAAACACAGAAGTTTCTTATTGTTAGATTACATGTGGGTTACTGAGTACAGTATTTTTCCTGTATATTTAGCATGTGTTTTTTTAATTCCGCATGTGTAGATTTATTTACTTGAGCTCTAATACCATGACAGGTATACTGGGTAGACGGGAAATGCATGAAGATATTATTTGGTCTTAATTTGTATGAATTGCGTATGGATTCCTTTTCATCACATAATGCACAGATGTATTGTCATTGTTGGCTTGAGAAGATAACAACCCATTTTTCACTGTAACTTTCTTTTAGTGTGTATTAAAAATGGCCAACAATATCCAAGCGGAGCAACATACCAAGACAACTGTAATCAATGGTAAGCCTACTAAACTCCTCTTTTGATTCTAATTTTGACATTCACATTCCCTGTGGTTCTTTGGCTGCCTAGTTGCCTAAAGTCATTTTAATAGTTTTGTAATCCTGTCATAGAGATCCTTGGTCAAGTGCTTCCTGTTATAGGGTGACAATGCTATGTCCTTGTCTCACAGTTGTGCTCCAGCGTTGTCAACCTGTCACATAGGTTTTTTATGTGACAAACATAAGTGTGCCATATGTAACTTCACATATTACCCAGGCATGATCCCCTGTTGTCACTATCAGATAATCCACTCTGAGAAATGCCATACAGCCATCACTGGGGTGTATGCATGTAGAGAGTAATTGGCTGCAGAAAGGCTGCAGTAGATTGGAAGCACTGATATGCAACAGAAGATGTAAAAAATAGTGAAAATGGGTATTTTATTTGAAACAATGACAATTGTTTATGATACATGGAGTTTACCTAATCTAAATCACATTTAGTTAGGGTTCACTTTTTTCTGTTTTTTATTTTGTTTTTAGCATCTACTTTACATTTACAATCTATTACCTCTGGTGACTAATTTAGTCAAAGAGCCACAATGATCCTTTTGTATGAATAATTCTTGCATGTGTCATGTTTTGTTTGCCGTAAAGATGCTAAAAAAGTGAGTGGCAAATATACAAAGCCGTAAGAGCAATATATGGTTGTGTTGTAGTTTATGTATTTTTTTTTCTATTTCTCATTTTGTGCAAATGTTCACAGACTCTTGTTAGACATAACACAATTTGATGTTCAGAATGTAATTCAATTTTTTAAGTATCTTGTCATGGAAGTATGCTCAGTGGCGCACTGGGATCAACGCCAGGGTTTCTCTCCTAGATTTTTTTTTTTTCTTCTACTTTCTGGAGACCAAGGCCTAATTTGATCAGGAATTCTGGCAAGTAGACAGAGGAAAAATGAACAATAATGTCCATTCTGTGACTGCTGAAAACTAAAAACACAGCATATTTACCATGAATAAAATTACCCTCCCTCCAGATCACGATGTGCAGCACAACTCTGGTCTATAGAGAATGTTTTTGTATACTGCATTGAATTGCCAACAGAAATAAGTCTGCACAGTATTTACCCTCCGAGAATAATTTAAATTGTAGCTGTGCATAACATACCGCAAGCTTTAATCCTGCTTAATCCATGAAGCAGTTAAGAGAACAGTGAGAATACCCAGGTACAGCAATCCATGACAAGCAATAAAAATTCATCTCAGATGACCTGATCAAAGCAAATCGGAACCTGACTTATTGCTGCTCATTTTCATTGCTGTTTATTGAGTATGGCTGCAAATATCAGACTATAATAATACCATCATATATGGTCCACAACTGAGAGTGATCCCAACATGTTCTCTGCTTAAAGAGAAACTTTACCCACCAATTTCATGGCCACAGTTACTGTTACAGCATGCCAACTGTCAAGGCTGCCAGTGTATTTATTTCAGCTCTCAACCAAACTTTTAAGTCTTCGATTTGCTGGTGTCATAGCTGATCAGATGTGCAGCAACTGGAATCCAAATTGAGGCTAAGATCACACCTTCCTTAGCTATAGGGGATGGGAGGGTGTAGTTCCACTTTAAAATCACCAACATTGAGTGACCGCACCACATGTTTAAGAACTGAAAATAAATGAACTGTAACAAAAGAATTAGATGTAGAACTACAAGAAAAGAAGTGTTTGCCTGACTGCCTCCCCTTGCATAGACAGCTGACTAAAATAGATCTCAGACTAGAGCAAGGAACCCTTCGACTCTTGCCCAACTCGGTTCTATGGGCTATAATAGAAAATCCTTCTATGCACATGCTTCGACCCAGATGTATATATTATAATTGATTTGCATTTGCCAATCAAACAGGTTGGCAGGTAAATCTGGTTACATCATAAATCTGTGAGCTAATATCTGGTCAAAAGAGGCAGATAATTTACTAATTTCCCTGTATCAGACATGTGGCTTAGATACAGACTGGATTCTCATGTGTGGTCTCACCTAACAGATGAAATGGTGCTTCTTTCTATGCATAATAAGTATTTATGTTTTAGTCATGATTCCATTCAGGACCCTAGCAATCAGTGTTGAAGTGATTGACAACACCTGTCCAATAATACAACCCATAGGTACCTAATTACACTGCTCATAAGGGCTTATTTCATAAGGATTTGCAAACTGCTTTGGCTATGAGTCAGTGGGCAGTGGTGTAACTATAGCAGCCCAGGTGGCTGCTATGGGGCCCGGGGACGGAAGGGGGCCCCATTAGGTTGCCGGAATAGGAGTGGTTGTAGACAGCTCTGCAGTGTAGAGACGACTTCAGATGCACAAGGGGAGCCTTTGGGAACTTGGCATTATTGCTCACTGCTCAGAGAGGTCATCAAGGGGGTTAACTGTATTCTGCACTTGGTTGTTATACTTTTTACTACTAAGGACCAGTCTACCTATAATTAAAATAATTTGTGTACACCTACCTTTTAAGCAAGTGAACAGTGTACATGAAGATATTTAACAGTGAGCTTAAAAGGACCAATACGGATTATATAGTGTTTTGACAACTTTTTACACACAAAAGTAATATGAATAATCATCCTAAAAACCCACATGACGATACTCGCTCTCATAATTTTGCATCTTATATTGCCTGTTATGAATAGCACTTTCTTCGAGTTGACACAGAACAGTCACACACTAAGAGCCATGCAGTAAACATTTACAAAGTGTTACTGCAGTCTTAAGTCCCTGTTCTGTGACTGCCGGTAGCTCAAAACAAACAGGGCTTTCCCGATATTTGCATCTGATTTGATTCGAAAATGTTTCTTTGTGTCTGACTAGTGTAAGTGTTTCTAGTATATTTGTGTCTAGTGACCAGGTCACACTGGTACCGTGGCAAACTGTTAAACCCTCAGTTTTTTTAACATAAACCAATACTGTAATGTGTGCCTTACTGTAATCCATGGTTGTTTCCCTTCTCTTTAATGCTCTTCCTTTTAAATCCTGATGTATTCTCATGCTGGTGGAGAACTTCCCTTTGCAGCTCAGGGCCTCTTCCTGTAGTGCTGGCTCAGGTTACAAGCCTATACAAACCTATACACAGACACCATATATCCATTCCTGAGACAAGGCAGTCTGCTGCAAAACAGAAGTTCTGCCCAGCATGAGAACAGATCCAGATTTAAAAGGAAGAGCAGCAAAGAGAAAGGAAACAACCATGGATTACAGTAAGGCACACATTACACTATTGTTTTATGTTAAAAAATCTGAGGGTTTAATGTCACTTTAAGAAGGACATACATATACAAGAGCAGTCAGCCATATACGCATATGCCATTGCTTTGAGGCACGTCTATGGCCCGACTGAGCTTGCTTGAGCATACATGGCTAGGAAAATGTGTTGAAAAGGAGGGAGCTCCGTAAGGGTGTTCTCTATAAAGCAATCACAGCTGGAAAAGATTTTCAAATATGTCTAATTCTTTACTTGTAAACCTATTATGTCATCTCAGCTGTTAAAATAGCAACACAAATACAGTAATCCGGTGGTACTTGCACATGCATTAAACATGTTCACTGGAGCTCTGACGCCCAAGATGCTCTATTATACAAATTGACTTGTCCTGGTAAAGTCAAAGGCTAGTCTGATGCTCCCCACACTTCACATCTCATGATTGGCCCATCATTGTTAGTGTAGGTAGGCTGGGGTGGTAGGAGGACCATTGTTTGACGATCACTAGGACAAGTTGGAATTTGCATTATAAGGTGCTCCAGATTTTGGGGCTCCCATGAATGTTTCACATAATGTGAAAGCACCACTAAGTGTCTGCATTTTCATTATGTTGCTTTCCTGGTGCCTTTCATGGCTGCATACAAACGATAAGCTCCGCCCCTTATCCCCACCCACAGGAGCAGTAACCATCTATAAAAAAGAGAGAGACTCCCCCTGCATTCTCTTTTTTTGTCCTCGCGTCTCTACATGCGACCAGTCATGCCATCCCTACCTCTGGGTCATAAAGTGCCGCAGTGCCGCCTGGGTTCAGCCTCTCCCAGGTGTAGTCCCAGTTCCTGGACTGCTCAATACGCCTTTGGGACTGGGAGCACCTTTTTGGCAGTTCTTGGGGGCGCGTGGTGTCTCGCATATATCCTAATTAGGATTACAAGCGGTGTGGTGGTGAGCAACAGGGCTATTGTGCAGGAGCCCAGGTGGGGATCTGTTTCTAACTGCTTTGCTTTTGCTGCCTCTTTTGTCATCTCCATCTTGGCTTCCACTTCTACAAGCAATTTGCCTCACCGCTCTCTTTCAGTGCTGCATAGAATATCCTTACAGCTTCCTCTGAGCTCTCTGGATCAACCCAACACTGCAGCAGCATCCACTCCTCTTTAATCAGCTTTGCGTCGCTTTTGCCCACCCTGTCAGCTTGTTATTTATCGTTTGTATGCTGCCATGAAAGGCACCAGGAAAACGGAAAATTGTATCATACTTACCAGTAATTTTCCTTTCCTGGTGCCTGTCCATGGCAGCATACTACCCACTCTCTTTGTAGACGCATAGTTACAAGAATGCAGGGGGAGTCTCTCTCTTTTTTTATAGATTGTTACTGGTCCTGTGGGTGGGGATAAGGGGCGGAGATTATCGTTTGTATGCTGCAATCGACTGGCACCAGGAAGGGAAAATTACTGGTAAGTATGATACAATTTTCCGTTTTCTTCACCACCTACATGATATTCTAGGTTCCATCTTGTGTCATCATATGACATAGTGGACCACCTAAATACAGGCTTGTTACAAAGTCTACAGATATTGATTTTGTTTAAACATGCCAAAAACAGACACGGCCACTGAGGTATAATCACCTTTTTATTGAAGACTATACCGCAGAACAAGGGTTAGCCACAAACTTTTGCACAACTAACAGGCTCCAACGTCACAACACCAACTTTGTTAAATTTTCAGACCATATGACATGAACCTCTTTGGATTTACAAAGGCTCAGTGTAGCACACATAGCAAAGACAGATTAGGACAACAAGGAGCTCTAGTCAGAATAATATTTGGGGCCCACCTCAATTACCTTAATGCCAGATTAAAGGAGAACTATGAGCGAGTGAAAATCACTCAGCCTCATAGTTCTAGCCGACCTGTGGCAATGAAACTGTCACAGGTCGGCTCAATAGATCGTGAAGTGAGCGAACACATACCGTCGCTTGCTCACTTCTCGATCCTGTCCCTGCAGAGAGCCGTGACTGTCACGGCTCCCTGCAGGGATTCCCCCCCTCCCCTCCCCTGTCCGATCCTCCAGCGCTGACTGGCGGAACGGACGGGGAAGGGGGCGGGTACAGCTGGCTCTGCCTCTAGATAGACCGAGCCAGCTGTCACTCACGTAGCTGGGTGGATCCAGACAGTATTGTCGGGATCCGTCCCGGCTGCAGCGTCTTAGTATACTAGGTATACTGAGCTTTGGGTGACGGGAGGACGCTAGTTTGTGTCCTCCTGTTACCCTTAGGAGAACTATGGGGAAAAGCCCTGACCCCATCGTTTTTCCTTTTTAATAGCCTAAGGTTGTGTATTCTCAATGGTACCAAGGACAGCAACTGGCTTTTTGTGCAGGTTTTATTCTATATAGTTTAGTTGGGTCCACATGATGTCCATAAAATAATATAGTCCCTGACAGTGACCAAACCTTAGACAAGTTCAGACATCTTTGTGGCTTGATCAGTGTTTAGAACAGTATTAATGTAATGCCCATATTGGTAAGTGGTTTACCAAATAATCTTTTTGTATATTATATGTACTGTTTCTTATTTACCATCATATCATAGGACAGAAACATGTTTGTTAACCTACAGATGTAGCCTGTACTTTTCATATTATTAATGGAAATCATGCCTGGTTCATAATACAGCCAGGTTACTAAGAAAACAACTAGTTAAAAATGTTAGTCATCACTTATGGCAGTGGTGGCGAACCTTGGCACTCCAGCTGTGCCAAAACTACAAATCCCAACATGCATCTGCCTCTGGGAGTTATGTCTGTGGCTGTCAGAGCCATGCAATGCCTCATGGGACTTGTAGTTCCAAAACAGCTGGAGTGCCAAGGTTCGCCACCACTGACTTATGGTGTAAGAGCATTTCTGTTGGTGGTAGAGGTACGGTAAACAGTATGAATTGTAACCCTTACTTTTATTATAAAAAGTTACTCTACAGTAGGCAACAAGAGATCCAGCTGTTCAAGTCTCAGTCATCTGTTTTCTTGTGTCACAATATCGGTGGCTTTCTTGCCAATATACGGTAAATGCAATGTCCAGAATCAGTGTCATAAGCTGAGATGTATGAGATAATCAAGTCAATCATGAGATATCAGTCATTTTTAACCGGTGAGCAAGTGGGAAACAAATCAGCACAGATTGGAAGATGAGGTTCCCAGGAAAACGTTCCAGCTAAACTTAGACTTCTGTTTGCAGCCTTAAAAGGAAGCTGAAGTCTTCGAACACATAACGCAGAACAGTTCATAATCCCTAAACCCTGGAGTTTGTCTAATGCATAACCAAATGTCTGCATGCAAGCTTATCATGCCATCGCTACTTTACATACAGGAGCATATACACACGCAGCTCATCATTTACACAACACTATTCCCCCTCTGCTCATCAGTTACCAAGGGCCTATTTATATGCTGTATATACTGTATGTATAACATGTATACCATTTTATGAGCTATAAAGCTTGTGTACATACAGCTTTCTGTACAAGGGAAATCTCTCTGGCTTATTTTATAAAAAAATTCCTCATACAAAAGATGTCGGTGTGTATAGCGCACTAACTCAACTGATGCAGCTGAAAATAAAATATTTAAACATCCAGGCTGTACTTGTACAACTGTGGATACTGTTCACAATTATATCTTTATAACATTGATTATACATGTTCTTTTACATAGCTCTGTGTGCACATCTATGAGCTCCCAACTAAATGTCTGGTAAAGATGAGATGAGGCTACAGCTCATCTCCTTTTAAGCACACTTGTATTATTGGGTCACTTGCTGTCTGCTAGCCCAGATACCAGCAACCATCTCCCTTAGTCCTTAGCTCACCTTATCCATGTCTGCTTTATTCTAATCTAATTTTTCCCCTTGGGCAATTCATTATTCTGGCCATACATGGGCATATCTTCCATCAGATGTAATAAATGATCCAAGAGCTGCCCAGTGTCATTATGAATGCTGGGTTGACCGCACAATCGTCAACTAAGGGTTCTCCTGAGGAGCATATTCTCACAAACACTAACTGTTGCTTTTTTGTTAACCCTATCACTGGTACTATTACTTGGACTGCTAGTGAAAATCCCTAATGTATCATCAGAGAGAGTCACATTAACATTACTACCTTTAATATTAACTTTCTCTGACTCTATCTCCAACATCTCTCAATGAAGTGAATCTATAAGCTCACCATATACCCTCACATAGGGCTTTTGTGTGTGTGTTTATGTAAATCACCTCTGTCAGTTACTTTGATATACTCTACCTGCATGGTAACCAGCCTCCCATGCATTTAAAGCATATCTAAAGCCAATGTTTTCATTTTGGATAAGTGGGTGAACAGTTAGAACCTTTTATTGTTTAATAGTACAAAGGGGTAGCGCTGGGCTCTTAGATAGAGGGATTGATGGAGTTGTGTCCTAGTATTCTTGGTCATGGGCTTACTTGGCAGCTCCCCATCTATACAGGGACCTTGCAGGTGGACCTTATAGAAATTTTCGACTATAAGAAATGGATGGAAGCGCCAACCCACTAGGAAATGCCCAAAATAGTCTTTATTACCATAGCAGTCAGCAAAGGAAGGTCCCCATTCATCAAGGCTGAGATCTAAAGTCTGGACTGCTTTGACTGCCTTTAAAGAAGGGAAATATAGTAGTAGCTAAGTAGATCTAGTAGAAGCAGTGAAAGATGAGATCCGTGGTATTCAGTATAGAAACTAAGTTTCTGTACTAAATACCACGGATCTCTTCTATTTCCCATCACTAATAGCTGTCAAAGCAGGCCAGACTATACACTGAGTGGCCAGATTATTATGACCACCTGACGTTTGTAGGCAAATTAGCTATAATTATCTATAATTTGGCGCTGAAGTTGCTAGAGGGCCAGACCATTATAAATAGGGAAGCGGGTTGTTTACCACGACAGTAGAAGTGATTTTTTTTTCTGAAGATATGGGTAAACAACGCGATTTAACAGCCTTTGAACGTGGGATGATTGTTGGCGCTCTGAGCCATGGAGCGAGTATCAGCAAAACAGCAGAATTTGTTAAATGTTTAAGAGCAGCTGTTGATAAAGTGTTTTAAAGACTGGACTGTCAGCCGAAAATCTGGGTCTGAACGTGCGAATTGTGGCCGTCAGCGACTAGTCAATGTTAGGGCAGAACGGAGAGTGGCAAGACTGGTACAAGACAACAGAAGGGCAACAGTGCAGTGTCAGATTCCTCGCATCACCTTTCAACATCTCGTGGAGTCACAAGGCGGCCCAACAAAGTCTTCTCGTGGAGTCATGAGGCGGCCCAACGAAGTACTGATGGGGTGGTCCTAATAATCTGGCCACTCAGTGTAGAACTACCACTTCTCAGACCATTGTGGACATTTACTAGTTGGTTGGTGCTTCCATCATTTCTTATCTTAAAAGGTTTTTATTGTTGCCTATGTCCCTGCACAGTGATTTATCCTTTCTATTCATCCTGGTGAAGACTGCTACCTGGATTGAAAGCGAGGGAAACTGTAAAATGTTGATTTGTCACAGAAAAAAAAGGAAAATCTAAAGCTGACCATACACTAGTAGATTTCTGAACACACTTTAGTGTGAAAGATCTTTCTTTCCTACCCAATAATTCCATCAGACACTTGACAAATGTCGATCGAAATTTAGTTTGATTTGATTTTGGAATAAATGGGGTTTCCATCCTGCGCTGTCGGGTTTTTTTCATCACTGTGGCCTAAATCGATCATCAATTTGACCCCATGAACTAATAGAAAGTCAAAATGGTCTTTCCCTTACTTTGTAGAAATCTCCAAAGAATAGAATTCCCCCAAATGGGAAACAGACTACAACAAAAACAACTTAAAGTATCATTATACCATCTAAAAAAAATAACCTATTTATTTGAATGCCATTAATATAGTTAAAAAATACTTGATTTTTCAAATTGGCCATTTTCAAATAGTTATTTCACCTATCTCGAACTGGCATTGCTTTCTCCTCTGGACCTCCACTTCCCCCTTCACTTTTGGTTGGGTTGTGCACACACAATAATATCGCCCCCCCCCTCCTCCCCCCACATTAAAATAAGAGTTTCTGCTGTCAGTCGCAAACATGTGGTTGGGTAGGTGATTGGATCTTAAGTGTTTTCGGTGGCTACACAACGCTTAGTAGCCCAAGTTTGGGAGCACGCATACCACAGTGGCTCCATAGAGCTGGTTACTAATATTCATTTAATTGCAGTGGGTTTAATAACACTTTAATGGTGGTTTTAACAATCCCTTACTTAGTTTTGGTTTTAGATATACTTTAAAGCTGTTTTGACAATGAAGGTTATAGGAAATGTTCCCTTCCTTTTTTAATAGGGACTTTTTGCTTTATTTAGCAACTATTCATAAATGTTTATAGACCTGATTTGTCTGTATTAGACCTGAGGGAATTCTGTACAGGTCCAGATAAACTTTCCTGTAGTTCCAAGAAATGGCACAGGTTATTATTAAAGAGTGGAAAAGTATTTTGCCTTTAGAGGACAGCTGTAGATCAAAGAAGTGAATGTAATTGTAGAAATTAAATATCATGAAGTATTGCGCATATTTAATATGCATTATTACTTATCTTCCCTCTTGTTTCAGCACATGCAACAGTGACGGTAACTGGCACTGCGAGCAGAGCCCATGTCTTATCAACCCAAGAATTATTGAGGCCGTTAATCGAGGCTCATATGGGTAAGAGAGCTAAAATACACTACACACTCCCTTTTTGTGTACAGCAATACTCTGCTTTATCTTTTTAAATAAAAATTGTACCTTATTTCCTTCACTGTAGCTGGACTGCTCGGAACTACAGTCAGTTTTGGGGTATGACACTAGATGAAGGCATCCAGTATCGACTAGGAACCACAAAGCCCTCATCTTCAGTGATGAACATGAATGAGTTGCATGTATGTACACTGCTTTTAATTTGACTTCTGAATGTAGCAAAATCAGCAGATTTTTAGCCGGAGGTTCTCATTTTGGCCTGGGGCACAAGCAATGTTTCTGTATATTTTTGGGACCTGCTATATAGTATCGTTAGCATTATTTCCATCTGGTCCTTTTACTGCGCAGAATTATTAGGAACTTATACCACTGACAGCATATAATAATGTACATATTGTTGAACCTCACAGGCTAAAACATTTGGCATTGCTGTCCAATTTTTTATCTCTCTTTTATTAAATCAGTGTCCACATTGTACAGTATAAAGACGCATGGGCATATTTTAAAAAGCAGTCAATGTGATTTTGCACAAACTTTTATCTGGTGGTGGTGAATTAATCATTGCCATTTAAAAAATAAGCGCCAGGAAGATTCACCTGCAGTCAATGTTTGCTGGACATCAGGATTTAATGCTTTATAAATATACCCCATAATGTCCTTTTGGAGAGGTAATGGTGCATATGCAGTCCTCTAAAAATAAACTAGCTGACCATTTTTGGAGGATTATTTTATTTTTCTGGAAAAATGGATAAGTAGACAGCGCATTTGAAGATAGAGCTAAGCAACAACTTGATGCTAGGGAAACATGACGGACAATTCTGTCAGTTGCATATGGAGAAAGGTAATAGGTTTGCGTTGGCAGGTCCACCTTGGGAAGCGTGAGTGGAATGTATTTCTGTAATGTCACAAAGGGTTAGTATGTTAACATGCCACTGGAATGCAGAGATTCTCCCTCCTCCAGTCATAGCTCTTTCCTGAGGTTAGGGTCAGTGTGTGATTTTTGGCAAGCCCCAACAGGGAAGCACAATGCAAGTGTGATTAAGCCAGCTTTTTTAGGCAACTTCCATTCAGGAAGTCCTACTGCACTCGGAATAAAGAGTAATCGAAAGAAAAAAAATAATTGCAGGCTACTGTTGTGTGAACACCCGTATTTTTACCATCCTGCCAATGAAGGAAGAAAAGGGGAGGGGGGGTCAGGGACAAGAGACTGGAACATTCTTTGTGATGGGACAAGTGAGTTCAGTCAGAACCCATAGGATTAGATCCTATAATGCTTCAGACTGCCTATTTAGGAATTCCTCAACTGTTTCTCAGTATGCACGTCACTATGAAATACTTGACATTTTTTTTGAAGATGCAAGCAAATATGTTTCTGTTTTTAGGCCCAAAATGAAAATGACATATTGGGGTGGGGGGTTAAAAATAAATAGCGCCAAATAGAGCTGCAATGACTAGCCTTGCACATAGCATACTTTTAAAATCCATGTCACACAGCAAATGTAAATACCCTGATTATTGAATGTTTGTAATTATGTCATGGCCCCATATCAAAAGCATTATAGGCCCCTAATCAACCCTACTGAGCTATCTTGTACTACCTGAGTAGATCATTGTGCGCTGCGCCAGGACCCTGTGCTTGCCCCCCACCACATTATATTATGATGGTGTATAACACTATCCAGCTTCTTTATTCAGTTTGTGGCAATGGGCTATGATAATATATATGTTACACACCATAACAACCTGATGGGCAATGATACATGGTGAAAACCACCCTGCACACAAGTGCTCACAATAACTTATCTGGCTGATGGTCTTTCCTTTTTTGCAGAAAATGTAGTGTATCTCAGTGTTTGTTAGTGTGCTAACGTAACTGTACAATTAAGATAATCTGGTATGGAATATTTTAAAATCTGAGGAGTAGTCTTATAGATTCCCTTACCCGGTTGGAGTGAGGGGCACATGGGGGATTGTCATTGATTGGTATGCTGCTAGAAGTGCCAAAAGATTGTTTGTTTGAAAATCACTCGCCTCATAATTCTCCTTTACTCAGCCTCATAATCTGAGCTGACCTGTAACAATGAAACTGTCACAGGTTGGCTCAGTAGATCGGGAAGTGAGCCGGCACTCGCTCACTTCTCGATATATCCCTGCAGAGAGCCGTGTCAGGGGAGGGACTGGATTCCCCCCTCCCCTGTCCGATCCTCCAGTGCTGACTGGCGGAACGGACGGGGCGGGGACAGAGGCAGAGGGCGAGCCAGCTGTCACTCACGCAGCTGGGCGGATCCAGACATAATTGTCGGGATCCGTTCCGGCTGCGGCGTCTCAGTATACCACGAGCTGTAGCTTGCGTTATACTGAACTAACCACATAGTTCTCCTTTAATGTCATGGACTACTGATGCACAGAAGTAGTCTTGGTCATATCATAATTTAAATTGCACAACGGGGATAAATGTCTTGCCATGCTGATTCTTAAATTCTCTCCCTATGTAGGTAAACATGGACAATGATGTTCTTCCATCCAACTTTAATGCTGCAGATAAGTGGCCAGGAATGATCCATGAGCCACTTGATCAAGGCAACTGTGCTGGTTCCTGGGCTTTCTCCACTGCAGGTGTGCACCATGTTGTTGTTGTTGTTGTTGTTAAAACATTTTTCTTTGTAAAGAAAGGTTCTGTTTTATGAATGTTTGTTTTTTTTAATCCAAGATTCACCCAGTTTTTTCACTTAAAACTTCATTTTTAAAAATGAGGGAATCCTGAAAAAATACCCCAAAAGTGTATTAATACTAGGCCGTTCAAGTACATTCAACACTTGCAAAATAGCAAAAGAGGCCATGGCCACAGCTAGCATCTTTTATACTTTGAGTTAAGTTTATTGTATGTAGGTGCACTTCGTATCAATAAAAACTTTTAAAGCCCAAATGAACCACCTAAATACATTCTTGGTGCATCAAAACAAAGGATGTTCAAAGTCTAACAGTTCCCTTTCTGTCTAAAGCAGCCACAACCAGAGTATACAAATCTGCCCCCACCAGAAGCTGCAGAGTGGGACTCTTGATTTCTGGGGGTAAGCATTGGTCTCATTGCAGAGGTCCAACATGTCTTTCTACTGAGTCAGACCTATAGTTCAGCAATTAGCAAAGCTCATGCTCCCCGCTGATTGGAGAGCTCTGGCTCTGACTCAAGTGGAGCTGTGTCGGACCTCTGCAAGGAGCCACAGCTTCCCCACAGAGTGCAAGGGGCCCAATCCACAGTATTCTGGCATGATACATTAAGCTGTGGCTGATTTTAAAGACTAGGGGGTCTATTCACGAAGCTGCCGAAGGATCTGGCCGTAGCTTCGGCCGATCCTTCGGCTAGCTTCGGCCCCAGGACCCCTTCGGTTGAGTAGAACCGAAGGGGTGCTGTATGGGCTATTCACAATAGCCCGTACAGCTACCGATCGTGGCCGAGCGGCTCAGCCGAGCCGAACGCATATGCATCGACACGAGCGATGTCGGAATAGAGAAAAAAAATATTTCCCTTAGAAAAGCATTGGGACATTACTATTGGCTATTTCAATTTGCAATAGCCAATAGTAAGCTAGCATTGTACCCGCCCCCTGCTGCAGTTCCCCATCAGGTCCATCAGCAGAGGGCGGGTACAATGCTAGTTTACTATTGGCTATTGCAAATTGAAATAGCCAATAGTAATGTCCTAATGCTTTTCTATGGGAAAATTCATTTTTTTAGATCGCTCGCGTCAGAATAAGGATATGATGCCTTTCTACTGTTCTACTGTTCAAAGCCCATTTCGTGTGCACCTTACTGTACAACTGGTAACAAATTGTTGAGTGCGTTTGTCGTTTGTTTTGCTTTACAGAATAAGGAAAAAAGACACATCAGTGCTTCTCTCCTGGGTGGCCGGGAGTGGGAGGCTCCCAGAGCACCCGGGAGTTTTTTTTTGTTTTTTTTTACAGCAGCAGAGCTGCCGGACAATAGAAAACTATTGGGCGGAGCTAGCTGTCACTGCTAGCTCCGCACAATCTTTTGCTATTTACTTTTTTAAACTTTTTTCACTCTTTTTTTCTGTTCTGCTCGGTCCCTCTGAGGGACCGAGCAGACCAGCCGAGCCAAATGCCGCTCGGCGGCATTCGGCTATTCACTCACTGCTGTTCGGCATCTTTAAGAATAGCCCGAACAGCAGTGAGAAGCCTGCCGGAGGTTCGGCTCAGCCGATCCAGATGGTGGATCGGCTGAGTCGAACTCCTTCTGCCCTTCGGGTCGGCCGAACATGCTGAGCATGTTCGGCCGACCGGAAGCCACTTGAATCAAGCCGATTTACTAGCCGAACAGTGTTCGGCTCACTTCACTTCAGATCGGTCATTCACTCGGCTGCCCTCGACAGCTTTGTGAATAGACCCCTAGGTTTTCCTTTCAGACTATGTTTCCTGTTTCACCCATATTTAGGGTGTAATGTGAAACATGGTCAGATTGCAATCCCCCCACCCCCCTCCTGCATCCCAGTTACCTGAATTGCAGGGTTCTTCTCCCCACAGGCATGTTTACATGTTTGAATTCAGAGCAACTGTGCATGCCTTCCCCTAAGCATCTTCATCATTAATGTACAGATCCTTTAGCCACCGCAGCAGAGGAACTTCTCAATGGAATACAAGTGTGGTGATGTCATCGCATTTGTAGTCCGTTGACACTTCCTCCCGTCCATGTTACTGAATGTCCATACCGAAGTCCAGACAAAAAAATTAATAAATGCACATTTTTTTTCTTTTATGAAGAAGTGTGCCTTTATTATTTTTAGGTGGAATTTCCCTTTTAAAGGAAAAAGACTTGGAACAATTGTATGTTTTTTTTTTTGTTGCACCTTAAATGTGTTTAGCTAATTTAAACAAAGAGTTCAAAGAAAGAAGGAGAATTGAGCTTTAATCTTTACTTAATTAAAGATTTATATTAATTAATATATTGACAACTCATACTATGAGCAAGATTGATTTCTAAATACTGTCTGCAGAACCGGCTGCTAAGCAAACATAACACACCTTTATTAATTATTACTTAATGGGGAAATAGGGTTAGATACATCAGTGTTTTAATCCAGAAAGAGCAATAACAGGCGTTCATTTGAACTGTGGTCATTTAATAGTTTACTGCGGCTGTATGCATCAACGAAATGTACAGTTTTTGATGCACAGAGACAGTAGTATCCCCATAACAGAGGTAGTGAAGAAGGAACTGAACGAATGCATCACTGTCCCTAAACCCTGCTGATAAATTTGAAGTTTGGACATTTTTTTTTTAGTAAGATCTAGATGTGAAAGCGGGATATTTAACCACTGGAGTACTATACTGTATTACCCCTTCATTACGAAGCCATTTTTCAGTTTTCAACCCTGTGACAGTTTGACTGACAATTGTGCTGTCACACAACACTGTACAATGAACTTTATATCATTTTTTTTTTTGCCAGACAAACCTTTGGTGGTATCTAATAACCACTGTGCTTTTATTCATTTTTACTATTGAAAGGAAAAAAGATGAACATTTTCCGTTAAAATAAAAATGCCAGGGCAGTAGGAGCACCACTAACATGATCCTTTTTTGAAAAGTAGAGACCCCAATGGATTGTCTTTTTTTTTTTTTTCTCCACAATTTTGTTGCTATCATTGAGGGTGTTAAAACATGGCGTTTGGTAATGGTACACTAGATACAGCACATCAGGTCACAGAGGGATCAGGAGGTGAAGGGGTCAATGTACAGGTCCCATACAGTGGGATCATGGATATGAAGGGTTTAGGGTGCAGATGTGCAGGATAAGGAAGGTGAAGGCAGAGGTGTCCCCAGGCTGGGTGTCACCCGTAGCGGCCGCCAGGACGTCATTACACACATGACCTTATCACACATGTACCGATGTTACGCGCGCTTAACTGCCGGCGGCTGTCTTGGTGAGGAACAACGGCAGAGAGAGGAGGGGACGTTTATTCGGCAGGATAAGGTATGCCGCCGGGTCCCCTCTCTGGTACAGCTAGACAGGCCGATGACCGATTGCCCGACTATTCAGAGGGGGTGACACCAAAATGACGGAGTCATCATTAGGTGAAGGGTTGATTTTTCAGATATAAAAATAGATGTCATCAGCACACCAGCATGAAAATTCAAAGTCAGTGCCAATCCATTTTATTGATGTGTCATCACGACAAGCACTTTCTGGGCCACGTAGGGTCCCCTTCATCAGGCTGAGAAATTACGAGTGTTGATTTATTGGTCACAATTAGGGCTTGTTCATACCAAGCGCGTTCCAGGAGCAGAGCAGCTACAGAACGGATCAAAACTGGTCCAATGTATTCCAATGGTATTTTCGGCTCTAGTGCATGTTCGGCCGACCGGAAGCCACTTGAATCAAGCCGATTTACGGCTGTTTTCAGCCGATGTACGGCTGAAATCAGCCGTACCAGCCTGAAGTGAATAGCCGAACAGTGTTCGGCTCACTTCACTTCAGATCGGTCATTCACTCGGCTGCCCTCGACAGCTTTGTGAATAGACCCCTAGGTTTTCCTTTCAGACTATGTTTCCTGTTTCACCCATATTTAGGGTGTAATGTGAAACATGGTCAGATTGCAATCCCCCCACCCCCCTCCTGCATCCCAGTTACCTGAATTGCAGGGTTCTTCTCCCCACAGGCATGTTTACATGTTTGAATTCAGAGCAACTGTGCATGCCTTCCCCTAAGCATCTTCATCATTAATGTACAGATCCTTTAGCCACCGCAGCAGAGGAACTTCTCAATGGAATACAAGTGTGGTGATGTCATCGCATTTGTAGTCCGTTGACACTTCCTCCCGTCCATGTTACTGAATGTCCATACCGAAGTCCAGACAAAAAAATTAATAAATGCACATTTTTTTTCTTTTATGAAGAAGTGTGCCTTTATTATTTTTAGGTGGAATTTCCCTTTTAAAGGAAAAAGACTTGGAACAATTGTATGTTTTTTTTTTTGTTGCACCTTAAATGTGTTTAGCTAATTTAAACAAAGAGTTCAAAGAAAGAAGGAGAATTGAGCTTTAATCTTTACTTAATTAAAGATTTATATTAATTAATATATTGACAACTCATACTATGAGCAAGATTGATTTCTAAATACTGTCTGCAGAACCGGCTGCTAAGCAAACATAACACACCTTTATTAATTATTACTTAATGGGGAAATAGGGTTAGATACATCAGTGTTTTAATCCAGAAAGAGCAATAACAGGCGTTCATTTGAACTGTGGTCATTTAATAGTTTACTGCGGCTGTATGCATCAACGAAATGTACAGTTTTTGATGCACAGAGACAGTAGTATCCCCATAACAGAGGTAGTGAAGAAGGAACTGAACGAATGCATCACTGTCCCTAAACCCTGCTGATAAATTTGAAGTTTGGACATTTTTTTTTTAGTAAGATCTAGATGTGAAAGCGGGATATTTAACCACTGGAGTACTATACTGTATTACCCCTTCATTACGAAGCCATTTTTCAGTTTTCAACCCTGTGACAGTTTGACTGACAATTGTGCTGTCACACAACACTGTACAATGAACTTTATATCATTTTTTTTTTTGCCAGACAAACCTTTGGTGGTATCTAATAACCACTGTGCTTTTATTCATTTTTACTATTGAAAGGAAAAAAGATGAACATTTTCCGTTAAAATAAAAATGCCAGGGCAGTAGGAGCACCACTAACATGATCCTTTTTTGAAAAGTAGAGACCCCAATGGATTGTCTTTTTTTTTTTTTTCTCCACAATTTTGTTGCTATCATTGAGGGTGTTAAAACATGGCGTTTGGTAATGGTACACTAGATACAGCACATCAGGTCACAGAGGGATCAGGAGGTGAAGGGGTCAATGTACAGGTCCCATACAGTGGGATCATGGATATGAAGGGTTTAGGGTGCAGATGTGCAGGATAAGGAAGGTGAAGGCAGAGGTGTCCCCAGGCTGGGTGTCACCCGTAGCGGCCGCCAGGACGTCATTACACACATGACCTTATCACACATGTACCGATGTTACGCGCGCTTAACTGCCGGCGGCTGTCTTGGTGAGGAACAACGGCAGAGAGAGGAGGGGACGTTTATTCGGCAGGATAAGGTATGCCGCCGGGTCCCCTCTCTGGTACAGCTAGACAGGCCGATGACCGATTGCCCGACTATTCAGAGGGGGTGACACCAAAATGACGGAGTCATCATTAGGTGAAGGGTTGATTTTTCAGATATAAAAATAGATGTCATCAGCACACCAGCATGAAAATTCAAAGTCAGTGCCAATCCATTTTATTGATGTGTCATCACGACAAGCACTTTCTGGGCCACGTAGGGTCCCCTTCATCAGGCTGAGAAATTACGAGTGTTGATTTATTGGTCACAATTAGGGCTTGTTCATACCAAGCGCGTTCCAGGAGCAGAGCAGCTACAGAACGGATCAAAACTGGTCCAATGTATTCCAATGGTATTTTCGGCTCTAGTTTACACCGCAGCGTTCAGTTCCAGAGCATGTGAAAAAAACTGCAGCAAGCCCTATTTTACCTGCCCTGGAACGCATGCAAATGCATCAAACGCATGCAAACGCCCTGGCGCACTGAAAGCCCATGTTAAACTAAAATATATATATATATATATATATTGCAAAAAGAATAAAAGTGACATATAAAAAAAGGTTTAAAAAAATAAATAAATGTTTAAGTCCCCCACCCCCACATATTTATGCAGATATAAACGTAAATACGCATCCGGTTCACCAGCGCGCGTAAACGACCATTGCGATACACACGTTATGTATCGCCACGAACGTCGCAGTGAGAGCAATAATTTTAGGGCCATCAATCACTGATAACACTAAACTATTGAGCGGTAAAAGCTTTTAAAGCGACGCCTATGGCCAATAATTTCGGGTATTATCGCTTTTTGAGGTTTCGCGCACGCAATTTTAAGGCTTGACATGTTTGGTGTCTTTTTACCAGACGTGACCCCGTCTTTTATATTTTACCATAAAATTGGGTAAAAAAAATGTTTTATTTAATATAGGGGAAACAGTTTTTTTTTTTTTACATTTTATTTTGGTAATTTTTCCTTTTAATATAGTAAAAAATGAAAACCGCAGTGGTGATTAAATACCACCAAAAGAAAGCTCAATCGGTCCCCAAAAAATGGTAAAAAATTGATTTCAGTACAGCGTTGCATGACGGAATAAATGTCAGTCAAAGTACCGCAGCGCTGAATACTGAAAAATGGCCTGGATGGGAAGGGGGTTTAACACCGCGGACTTCAAGTGGTTAACAGTGGTCACATGCTATAGGCCCGCTCAGATCAGGCTTGTACATGGTCTCTATGTACCAGGTCATCCGATAACGCTCCCCTGAAGGCTATTTTTACAGTAGTATTTATAAACATTGGGGGGTAAACAGTCCACCTTTTATAAATGCACTGTGGTAGAAAAAGCCATTGAATTTGCTGACTATAACCAATTACAATGAAGGCTTGGGAGTCAAACTGGTGTGTAGTCTAATAGTTGAATAACCTGATAATATTTTTGCAAATCCGCTTCACAAAGTCTCACTCCCTGGCAGCATAATTTTACCTTACACAAATGAAAAGGGGGAAAGATCTTATCTTAGGATAGATGCTGATGTTTGTTCTTGTTTAGGCCTAATCAACTACGATGTGCTGTAGAGAAGGGACTGTTCGCAACCACGTTTTTTTACTTCTTGCTTATGTGCCTGATTTTTAGAAGCTGTAGTTAGGACAATATTCAGTTAGACCATTGCAATATTTCCCAGTCACTATGCAGGCATAAGCATTTACAGAGTTTAAAAAAAATTTTTTTTTTTATTAAATTGTACTAACCGTATGTTATGCAGCCAGTTAGATGCAAATAGTGCTTAGCAGAGTCCTTTTTGTAATTGTGTTGCCTTGATTTACAGCACAGAGGATTTCTATGCTTGCTCCACTCATGGAAGAATCTTACACAACATTGAACAGTGAACAATAGTTTAGTGTTTCACATAGATCTAGACTGTATATTAACTATGAAGTGTTTAAGATTAAAAAGGGGAAGGGAAATTGTGACATCTTCAGGCAATCTTGTGATAGTACAAGCATTATATAAAAATACAAGGACATTTCAAGAACATACCGTAGATGCTTTTGGTATTGTGTATATTGATCACAGGTTTGACTAGTCGGTAACATATTAGTACAATAATAGGTGTTATTTTAAAAGTAGTTTGGCAAAGCAAGCTAAATAAAACTTGTTGCATTCGTGCATTTCTTTCTTTAGGTGTTGCCTCTGATAGACTTTCCATTCAGTCGATGGGGCACATGACTCCTGCTCTGTCCCCTCAAAATCTCCTTTCCTGTGACACCAAAAACCAGCATGGATGCAGAGGGGGCCGTGTGGATGGAGCATGGTGGTATCTCAGGAGAAGAGGGTAGATGAATTTGCCTTTTTGTTTTGATTATTTTCTTTGTTCTTAATTAGACATAATATACCTGAGTACTGTATATGGCTATCTGTGTAGTGTAGCTACAATACCTTGATTTTTATATATGAGTCTAGCTATAGTAACTATACCTGGATACAAAGAGTTATTTTTTCAAAAGCAGTTAACTATATTGCATGACATTCCTTGCATACACTTGGCTTTCACCACTGCAACACCTAAATACACTGAGTGGCCAGATTATTATGACCACCCCATCAGTACTTCGTTGGGCCACCTTTTGCCTTCAATACTGCGGCGATTCTTCTAGACATTGACTCCACGAGATGTTGAAAGGTGATGCAAGGAATCTGACACCATGCCTGATGAATAGCACTGTCCAGTTCTGTGAGATTTGATGGTTGTGGAACCAGCTGCCTGATGGCTCTTTCAACTTCGTCCCACAAGTGCTCAATTGGATTGAGATCTGGTGATTGTGGGGGCCACCTAAGCAAGGTAAATTCTCCCTCATGTTCTTGAAACCACTCCTACACAATACGAGCACCGTGGCATGGCGCATCGTCTTGTTGGAAGAAGCCATCTCCTTTGGGATACGCCATCCACATCATTTTGTTAAATCGCGTTGTTTACTCATATCTTCAGAAAAAAAATCACTTCTACTGTCGTGTTAAACAACTTGCTTCCCTATTTATAATGGTCTGGCACTCTAGCAACTTCATTGCGAAATTATAGCTAATTTGCCTACAAACGTCAGGTGGTCATAATAATCTGGCCACTCAGTGTATATGGACATTTTCTTTGGCTTTAAATTGATATTATGTGCATAATATTTGATCTTTTGTACCACATTTCTGTTATTGATCTCATTTTTATTATTTTACAGGCCTTTTGCCTGTGTATTCAAACTGCTTTTCCAAAATAAATGGTATCTCTCCTTCTTCAGGGTTGTAACAGAGGAGTGTTACCCATTTTCGGGTCAAAATGGAAATGGACCACCTGCGCCATGTATGATGCACAGCCGCTCCATGGGAAGAGGGAAGAGGCAGGCCACTGCTCACTGCCCAAACCCATATTCATCATCAAATGAGATCTACCAGTCTACACCAGCCTACCGCCTGGCATCCAATGTAGGTCTTTCTGTAGAACTGCTTTTGACAGAATTATCTGTATAGACCCTTCATAGCGTTGCTATACAATTCAAGTTATGTTTCTGGAACCATCAAAAGACCAGAGCCAATAAAACTTTTTTAATGGGGCATTTTTGAAAAAGAATATCTTCAAAATACACAACTTTTAGTTTACACACACTTTTTTAGCTAAGAAAAAAGATTGATAAAAATATTTGTTATTTTATATAATTGGTTAGAAGGAACCTATGTGACAAATCTAACCCCTCATGATCATTAGAACATGATCTTCACTGGGCACCAGGAGCACCAAATCCCAGGGCACAAATTAGTTACCACAGATTCCGTGTCACATTTCTGATTCGCTTCCTCCAACCTCCTGTTGACCAACAAATGCAATGGAGACTCATTTGTCAGCAGAAGGACATGAAGGGTGGTGGGCGAGAAGTGCCTACTAGGAGCTGTGGTTATCCACCCCAGGGCTCTAGGTGGGGGGGATTAAGGATGATCTGAGGATATGAGCAGGTATTTGGGTGGAAATTTGGAGGATACCCTATCACAGCATCCACACCAAGTGAAAATAAGATGTAAAGAAGGGAAATCAGAAAAATTAGACTAAATTGTTTCAAAAAGATGATTTTAAATATTATTGTTGTCCTATTATTATTGAAGCCCTGATTTCCTGATCTGCATACCTGTCCCAAGTCAATGGCTCAAAAGAGCCAATATATTCTTCTTATGACAGATTAACTTACAGGGATATTTTATAATAGTTGTTGTTTTCGATAAAAGCCACAATCTGATAAGCTTTGCCCTACTAATGTTAAGTTTTTTTAATAGCCATATTATTTCACTTGCAGGAAAAAGAAATAATGAAGGAAATGTATGAAAATGGTCCAGTACAAGGTAAGCAGTACAAAAAACTACTTTACCAAATGAACCAGCAGAACGACTGAACGTATAAATATACTATTACTTATTCTTTCACTTTAAGTTATCTTCTTCCTACCCAGCTCCTTCATAATATAATTATCAGTATAACTGATGTACCAAATATCTCCTTTGCAGCTATAATGGAGGTGCATGAAGACTTGTTCGTGTACAGCAGTGGAATCTATAGACACACACCTGTAATGGCAGGAGAACCAGAGCAGTACCGTCGTCATGGGACACATTCTGTAAAAATCACTGGGTGAGTAAGGGATGATGAATGCTAATGCTGGATGTTTAGTATATATATGGAAGTAAATAAGTGGTTTTTAGCATAGTGCCATAAACATACTGATGTATCGTACAATAACATACCCTTTGATTATAATATATTGTGCACGCCATTGATGCTGTAAAAACATTTTATAGGGGTTTCCATTGTTTAGAAAAAAAGGCAACTAGACCAAATTGACAGTGTACCAATGTGAGGGATTCTGAGACCCTAATTTTTTTTTTTTTTGCTACCAACAAAAGTTCCGCCACCCCTTTCTGCTCCCCTCACTGCTCTAGAAGTGTAGAAGACAGGGTGCTATGGACCTCACTGTCAATCTAGAGTGAGAAGGGGGGGGGGGGGGGCTAGGCATGGAACAGCTTTTTTCCTCACTGTCAATACAGAGGGAGAAGGGGGGGGGGGGGTGATAGTCATGTCACAGCTTTAATGGGAGTGGCCAGGCACCTCCTTCTTAGTGGCAAAGGTGAGAAATTGAAGGCTGAAGCTGTGTGCCTATTCTTGTACATGACCCACATGTGGACTAGGTGACCACATTGCAGTACATTCAGCAGCAATCCTATAGCATTCAGTGTTCTGAAGGAAAAAGACCCACACCATTACTGAAAGGATTCACAGGTATACAGCCATGAGGTAAAAGGGAGCAGAAATGTGGCTTGTATGTAGAACAAAATATACAACCTTAAAGCCCATCTCCGGGCACAACTATGTTGGCGGAATTTAGTAAGTTGTAGTAAGCCCTTGTTGTAAAGCCACCTGCCATAATCAAAACTGCCTCCATCTCTCTGGAAATCATCAGTATACATGCAGGTTGAAGTCCAGCTTTTGCTGAACTTCCATGCCACCTCCGGCTGTAAGCACTGCAGGTTTCCTAGACCTTCAGGGCTGCAGTTGCATTTCTGTCCCCCTTTTTTAGTGGTTAGTCCTAAAATAGAGCCTCGTGCCATTTGCTTTTTCAGTTGGCCATAGACTAGGGGGTGTGATCTGCAGCGAGGCAGTGTTGCATCTGGCAAGTTCCTTTGCAGCAAAGGCATTGTACATCTTAATGTACTCCAGCAAGATTATTGTGCCCGGAGTTTACCTTTTAATTTTTGCATTGCCATTTTTTTTTTTTTTTTTACACGTTAAGTGCAAGTTTTCTTTACAGAGAATATGTATTCTTTAGATATGAAACTATGGTTGTAGATATGAAAGGGAGTAACCCAATAGATAATATCTACAGACAGGATGTATAATATGCACTGTTTTTCTAATATATGGAAATGGCTGTGGCCCTTGGGTGTGATTAAGGAAATAGGCCAGTTATGCTTAAAGGTCTACTTTCTTTGTATAGACTAGTTGTACTAACAGGTCTACTCTTCTACCTAAAGATTTTCTTTCTCTAGTAGTATGAAATCCCCACCTTTTATTATATACATTACATGATTAAGGGTCCCCACACACCTTACGATTATCGTACGATAATCGCGGGAAATCCCGCGATCGTACGATGATTGTAAGGTGTGTGGAAGCCGTGCGACCTCTACTACTGTAAGGTCGCACGACTTTAAACTTACGGACATGTTCGAAAACCCGCCGAGCATCGTACGATGTTCGGCGGGTTTGTGGCATGTCCGTACGATAACAGCCGTACGGGCCGGTGTGCGCAAGCGCACACTGCCCGTTCGGCATTGCGGTCATCGGAAGCCCACCCCTCAGGGGGCGTGGCTTGCGATCATCGCAAGTACGATCTGCCTATGCAACATAGGCAGATCGTACGTTTTTTTAAGTACCTTACAACCATTGCAAGACAGAAGTCTTGCGATGGTTGTAAGGTGTGTGCCCAGCCTTACTATGTATAAATCATTGACTTGCAATTAAAACTCATAGTTTGTATTTATAACACTTACTAAGGCTAAACATGTGTCAGTTTCAGCTCTATTTTTGATTAATATTACAATGACATAAATGTAAAATTATGCATTAATGTGCTATCAATAAAATACACTCTAGGAAAAAAACACACACTATGGAATAAATATACACAGGACAGAAACTGCCAAAATTTCAACACACATATAATTGTCTCCCATTGTTGATTTTTATTCTTAGTTTTCTTAGAGCCTTTACAGATGCGCACACATACACAAACTTGTCCCCTTCTTGTCACTTGGCATAAAGTGACATTTATTACTGTAGATGAGAAAAGTTCATAAAAGGATACAAGCATAATGCAACTGTCCCTAAAATCAGCGGAAGGGAGAGGCAGGAAGCATCAGAGTAATCTCACGGGGACCAAAAGGACATGTGGAGCCTTGAACTGAACATTATGTCTGCCCAAAGGAGACTATATAACATCCTGCACTGCCCTTTCTATGATGGGCCAAGTTGATGTCAAAGGTTTGTCTGGCCTAGAACAGTGGGCACTAAAATAGAACAGGTATATAAATACAGAATAGTATCTTGAACATGACAATGCATGCACTAAACAAGGTAAAGTTGTAAAAGCTCTCATGATTTTGTTGTGCTAACAGAGTTATCAGGGAAGGTACGGGAGCTAGATTATTATACATTGTCTAAAAGACCTTGCTGATTTCTAGCTTCTGTCTCAGCAAATTCCTTACTTGTTGATTTGCTTAGGAATGTCCTCGAATGTTACCTCTGGCCCAGATATTGGTGTGACTTCAAGCTGTGCCTATCCCCATAGTAACACAGCACCCTAACCTGGTACTGTCCAAGCATTTGGATAGAGAGGGCCATATTGCATTTATAATTATGTCATTGTGAATGGAAAACAATTTAATATTTATGCCATCGTACAGAATCTGCAAGCTTTTTAATGAAAAGAGAGGCCTCAATAATGATTTGGAGAGCCACCAGGTGGAGAGCCCTGCTTATACACAACTCATTTATGGCAAGAACAGGACACCAGTAAGCAGGGATACAATTCACCAACCATCACACATACTGTTTATACAATTATGCTAGCATTTAAAACATTATTTTAATGATCTTTTAAGTAGGGATGTCCCGATACCACTTTTTCAGGACCAAGTACAAGTACTTCCCCTAATGTTCTTGCCGATACCAATTACCGATACTTTTTCTTAAAGGGGCAGGTGACTTTAAATGATCCATAGTACAACTACATGTTATGTACTATGGATCATGATTGAACCTATTCATGTTAGCAGGGGAGAATTGTAAATCTATTGCTGGAGTGTAGTGGAGGTGTGTGCTGTATATATGTATTACATATACATTACACACATCCAGTACACTATAGCAATAGATTTACAGCCATCCCTGTCCCAGCTTCCCTCACTCACAGTTCACTCCGATCCCTGTTGCCTCGCGAGGTGCCTCTCGTAGTCGGCGCTGGGCAGGATCACTGCATCGCGTCTCTGTGCTCAGCTTGTGGGAGGCGCTCACAATTCTGCCCAGCTAACATGAATAGGTGAAATCATAATCCATAGTACATATACAGTACACATGTCCCGTACACTGCAGTAATAGTTACAATTATCCCCTGCTAACATAATTGGGTTAAATCATGATCCATAGTACATAAAAGTACATAACATGTAGTTGTACTACGGATCATTTAACCCATTCATGTTAGCAATGCAGAATTGTAAATCTATTGCTGCAGTGCATTCTATATGTACTGTATACGTACAGTACATATAGAATGCCCTGCAGCAGTAGATCACACAAAAAACTAAGCCCAAGCCCCGTCTTACTCACTGTTGCCTGGATCGCGGTGCCTCACGATTTTTCTCACAAGTGAGGACGTCGTCGGCACTGTGCTGGAGAGGAGCGTCGCGTCACTGCTGCTCCGGTGGGCGGCGCTCCAGGTGGGGTCCTAATTTAGGTGGCCGGCGACTGCCTGGAACGCTGTGCGACGTGGTAAGTAAAAAAACTTTCCTCTGGGCAGTCTCCGGCCACCTACATTAGGACCCCAGCTGGAGCTCTGCCCACAGCAGTGACGCAACGCTCCTACGCACAGCCTGCCCAAAGGACCCCACTGCGGAAGGTAAAGTAAAAAAAAAACATATTCAAGCTTCGGCGCTTTGTATCGGGGCATTTTGACCAGTACATGTACTGGTCAAAATGCCCTGTATCGGGCCCGATTCCGATGCTAGCATCGGTATTGGGACATCGCTAGTTTTAAGGATTACATTGAGTCTTTATATCTACCTGGAGTTTAAACGGGGAGAAAGGAGAAAGAATAGTGATGAAAGAGCTTTGCATGATTAATCACAACCACTTAGAGATACAGTATAATTCTCCAAAATTTGAGGCACAGTAGGATTTTGTATGGCATATTTATTTAATTTTTTTTATCACTGAGCATTGTCTTATTTTTATTATTATTTTTTTTACTAGGTGGGGAGAAGAGTTGGCACCAAATGGACAGATTCAAAAATATTGGGTAATTAAACAATTTATTACACGTTCACTATAGTTTTATACTACTTGGAAGAATCCTTTTCTAAATGAAATGTGCAGGCTGCCATTGCTGGTGCCTTACTTTGCAAATCATGCTGACCACCCAGCCTAAATACTTTGAATCACTGACCTGGAACAATTATGCAGATTAGTAGTGCCCAATTTACCCTGACTTACTATATCTGCATGTTTGTACCAGGTCAATGACTCATAAGGTATTGACTGCATACTGAAAAGAATTCTAGTTGCCTGGCTATCTCTGGCATTCATATTTTTTGAGACAGAACCAAAACAAAAATGCAGATCAGAAAGTCAAATTGAAACCAGAGTTGCTAATCTACATACATGTTCCAGGAGGGTGACTAAAAAAGTATTAAAACTATTGGATCAGCATGGCAGTCAAGAAAGAACGTTTTTTTTTGGATAGAGGGGTCAGTAACGGGAGCCTCCAGGGCATCTTTCTTTAGGGCTCATTTATACCAGCCCACATGATAAATTGTGTACGTGCTGCTAAGCAGTGAGGGGCAACGCGTTACAACTCATCACACTGTTTACCTTTCTTTCTTTTTAACTTTTATTGAAGTGTTGCACTGCATAAAAATGAATACATGCTGCACCACACCACTGCACCTGTACAGTGTGAACAGGGCACATAGAAAACAACTGTTCCCTACATGCCCCTGTGTTAAACCTACCTTGATCAATGCAGATCAACACCGTTTGACAGACATGGTGTGAGCAAGCCCTAATCAAATATTTTACAAAACAATTTGAGTCACAAAAATATAATTGTTGTGATCACCTACTAAGCCACTAAAACATTGAAAACAAATAAAATTGCTTTATGCTTTTATTGTGGATTGCCCAGCTATATAAGCCGTGTTTCCCCGAAAATAAGACACTGTCTTATATTTTTTTTTCCCCCAAAAAAACACACTAGGTCTTATTTTCGGGGGATGTCTTTTTTTTTTTCAGAAGTTCCCTCAGTGACTTAGGCTCAGTCCCCTCATCTCACTTCACTCCGACCCCACTGGCCATGCCACGCTGTGCCGCTGCCTGCTGGGAAATTTAGTTTTCTGCCCGCCGGCAGCTCTTTAAGCAAAATCCGTGGCAGACAGGTGTCTGCTGATTTCAGGACCGCCGGGAGCTGCGCCGCGGTGGTCAGTCTCCGCCGTGTACTCTGGTTGCTCCCTGGACGCCCCACCCCCAAATTACAGAATACCAAGGCCCTGGCTGCATCCCCTCCCAGCCTCGCCTCGTCCTTCCTACGGCCCTGGCAGCGGTGCAGACAGTGGACAGTGCGGTAAAGTACATGCTACCGTACCACCGAACTAGGTCTTATTTTCGGGGTAGGTCTTATATTACAGGAATCTCTAAAGATAGTGCTAGGTCTTACTTTCGGGGTAGGTCTTATTTTTGGGGAAACACGGTATTTATGTATAGATTGTAAAAATCAGGAATTATACTTTGACAGCTTGTATAGCTGAAGCAATTTGCATTAAAAACATAACACATTTTTCGGGTGGTGAGCACCAATAATAGAACACACGTGATAACAACTACACCCTACACTGGATATACCATTTAAGTTATGTCACTTAACTAACCATAACGTGCCGATACCATTGCTTGCTTATACCTCACACACCGTCACCTGATATGGATGCATATGCTTTGCTCTCACCACTTAATCTGCCAAACAAATGTATTGAGCTAGAACAAAATAAGGGGCACAACCTGACAAACAGACATACATATCTACTTGACTATGAATAACAACTGTTGGGAGCTACTAAAGATCCTATCTTTAGTGGGTCCCAACCTATCATTGAAGCTAATGCTGTACAGAGGCCTGGAAAGTAAATTTGCTTTTGAGTCCATTTCAGCTTTTTTTCTTTTTTTGTTCTTCAAATAACACTGTTTAGCTGCACCATAGTGCACGTGTAGCTGTCTTGTAGTAATTACACAACCTCCAGTATATTGCTATATTAAGCCTAGGAAGTGTGTTTTGTTTCTGATCTGTTCTTATCTTCTCTTTACTGTAGCTTGCTGCCAATTCGTGGGGCAGAGACTGGGGAGAGAGAGGATATTTCCGCATTGCCCGTGGTGAAAACGAGTGTGAAATTGAAACTTTTGTAGTGGGAGTGTGGGGCAGAGTCAGCATGGAAGATGTTGCTAATAGAAAATGAGGGATTTTACCAAGCTCTAGGATTTTGAGGATTTCTAATACGCAAACACTGGTTTGTACTCTGCTCTTTACCTCCAGATGATTCCACAGCCAGTGAGCTGGATAATAAGGTCCTAGGTGGTAGGCATGTGTGTTTAAAGTGGGAAACTGAGTCTTTATTATAACTAAGAGTGAGGTAAGTGTATCTGGGTGTTTTTATTAATAATAGGGCATCTTTTGACCCATACAGCATAAAAGATATCTGCAACTCACTCATGAGACATCTAAGGCTGGTATTCACATACATAATGACACTGCTATTGTTAAAATCTCCTATTGCTTTTATTTTGGAAAGAGTTGAGTGAATCACTGGCATATACTGGACTTAACTCTCTAGTGTAGAGCATCAGCACCACAATCTATGTACTTAAAAATTTATTTTGTTTCATAAGCACACTGTACATTTAAAATGTGTTATCTATATGCTGGACCCTCCTAAAGCTACAAATCCATTTTTTTGAATGTCCTATAAATTACCAAATCCAGTACCACAATTCAGAATGGGAGCAGGATGCAGTGAGGTACTTAATGTAATTAAGCTGACCCAGTGGTGCTGACACAGGGAAGATTCACAGCCTGTGGCTTTAGAAGGGATAATAGGGCAGATAGTCCTATAATCTCCCCAGGGATCAAAGGGGTATTGTTTGGGGCTATATGCAAGGGGCACACAGGCTTGTGAACCTGTCACAGACAGACATTCCCCGTCAAGCTACAAACTGCCGGAGGAATGGTAGGCTTCTGAATGCAAGTCAATTCCACCTAGGACCAAAGTGAAACATATATATTTTAAAACCTTAAAATGAAAGCCAATTACCTTTTTTATTAATGCATATCCACTGATATCTGAAGCTTGCTCATCTTAACACCTCATATATGCCACGCACTGCTAAATTCCTTCAATCCAGCAGCCTTAAACATCTCTGCGGGTATTATATTTACTAAAGACATTTACTTTAAAAAACCTTTATTGAAAGCCCAAACGCAAATGCAGAAAATGTGAATTATGTTTAGCTATTTATTGAAATGTTTTTTTATTGAGATTGTGTATATTGTTTAAATCCCTGATTCTTGTGCACAATAATTTGGATTTCAACCACTGTTACAGTTACAACATTCCAGTTTGAATAAAAGTATTTTTCACCAAGTGTGGATGCATGTTTTCTTCTTTTATTCACATTATGACGTTTAAGGAACCATTTTATGTTTATTGGCATGATGCAATAAATTTACAGACAAATTTCATTTTATTAAGGGTCTATTCCCCTGGTGCCCACCCTGTGGCCCGGGAGCCACATGAGGCACTTACTGTGCGGTTTTGGTTACTCAAGCCAAAAGAAAATTTTTTTCTTTAGACTGGCTTCTAGTAGTTGAATTGTTTGTTTTATTTCCTGTAACACTCTTACTTCTGTGCTGTCCATCCCTTTTTTCTTTTCTCATGTTTAGTTTTTTGCTCTGATCTTTTATAATGAAACATGCTGAGAGAAACATACAATTTTGCATAAGTGAATTTTAATAGAGTTGTAGGGAACACAGATGTGGAAGTGTTGATTTTTCAATTGGGCTGCAATATCCGTGGTTTCTAGCAGTTCCCCAGTCTCCAACAACTCCTCCTGTAGCCCCTGATCATCTCCTGTTGTACATCTTCACTCTCTACATTTACTGAACATTATGTGCAGCCCTTTGGTAATGTTGAGAGCCACATTTGAGGCCCCCTTTTATGAAGAACGTTAACCACCACTGGTCTACTCACACTTATGCATTTATTCTGTATTTGACTGCAAATGCATCTAATTTGCTACACTTATTAAACTTCCTTGGAGCCATGGCTGTCATGGACATATCCCCTGGTGGTACATTATCATAATGGCTTGGGCTTGAGACTTGAGCACTACTGCACTGAAAAGTGTTCATCATTACATGAGCGGTGTATAGTGCAGAAGTAAGGAATGTGTCTGTGTCTCCAGCAAAGAGGAATGACCCATGATGACAATGGACTGGCCAGAGAACCCTTTGGAAAAAGGTACAAAGGGGATTTTTGAGGATTTCTGCCTAAAAAGTAGCTAGTCACACTATCAATGTTTTGCGCTACATTGAATGTTTGTAAACTGATTGTGTAGCAGCAATGTATGCAATTGATGTAGCAATTTATGCCATTCATGGGGTTCTGTTAGTAAGAAAATGCTCAGTGTTGCAGGGTCAGTTGTGTGTGTTTGTTGTGATAATAGGGGTGCTGGGTAAAGGAACAAACTAGTATGTCTATGAATAGTGGAAGAAACTTTATAATCCTACATTTCATAAGTTACCTGATAATCGTATCATACAGATAACGTTACCGCAATGAAATAAAATACATTTCATCTTTCTTTCCGTGGTACAAAAGACACTATGCCAACATTGGTAAATATCAATGCTTTTATCCATTGTTTTGCTTACTTTTTGGAAAGACTGGCTAAACAAAGAAAGCATCCATATGCCCAACAAATAAAAAGGTCAAATCTAATATAGTTGTGCAACTGCACAATACTTGCCGGAAGCGTGCTATGTGGACACAACCTTTTATTAAAAGGAGTGGCTTTGTTTGTGTCCATATTTTACTCTAGTCAGGGACACATCTCTGATGCATGTTGAAAGACTGAACAATTTTTGATGAATGAGCCAACTGTAGAAGTCATTTATTAGGAGTATTTACTGTACACAGACTTGGCAAACAAAAGGGTTTCTGTGTGTTCAGACCTGAGCACGGGTCTGTGAAATATCTACTTTGCTTCACAAACAGATGGTTACTTTGATGGAAAGGCTCTGGGTTTGGTGTTAGAAAGCCCTGGAGGTCACATGCCACCTCTGTGCCAACCTTCCGCTCATCCCTGGTCCCTTTTGTGCATGCCTATTCAGCCTGTTCTGCTGCACAAGCATTTAACCTGATAAAGCCCGGAGTTCAGCAGTACACTGACAGAATATTATGAAGGAGTCTAAGGTCCTGACACATCAAGGACAAAGACTAGATATTTTACATGAGCTTGCTGCCATTCTTACAATGCTCTTCAGAACTGTACTGCAAGATGATAATTTTCTTATTACTACTCAAATGTATCCATGCATTACTCACTGAAAATCACATTCGGTGCAACACACGTTCATATCACAATGATTATTCAGTACATGCATGATACAAAGTAAAATAAACAAAACAATGGTGGCTTCAGTAGTATAATCACATTGGAAAATAGAAAGCAGAATGTGTATACCACATGCATAATGAATAGCACTAAACACTAATTTTAGATAGCAAATATAATCACTCAGTAAACTGTTAACAAGGAAACAATGCCACTATGCTAATGTCACAGATTTGTCTCTGGGTGGGACTACAATCTTTTGCCAGCTATTGTGTGTGGTGCAACCTCCCAGCTTCTTATGGTCTGCAAGAATAAAAAATAAAGGCCAGGTCAGGGCAAAAAAGTGAGTACATCTTTCCAATACATGCATATTTTCAATGTATTATTATTTTTTAAATGTTACATTATCATTACCTGTTTGATTATTATAGACAGCTCCTATTTTGGGATTCCGTATTTTCCGGGAACTTTGCTTATTATAGATAGTCCTTAAATTGATATCAGTGGGAAAAACTGCCCCTCACATTGATATTAGAGGGAAGAAGACTGTCAGTGGGGAAGTGACTGCCCGTAACACAGATATTGGTGGGAAGAAGACATTGATATAATTGGGAAAACACTGCCCCTCACATTGAAATCTGTGGGAAAAAGACTGCCCCTTACATTGATGTCAATGGGAATAGACTGCCCCTTATATGGATGTCAATGGAAATAGACTGCCCCTTATATGGATGTCAATGGGAATAGACTGTCCTTTACATTGATGTCAATGGGAATAGACTGCCCTTTACATTGATGTAAATGGGAATAGACTGCCCTTTACATTGATATCAGTGTGAAAAGACTGCCCCTTACATTGATGTCAGTGTGAAAAGACTGTCCCTTACATTAATATCAGTGGGAATAGACTGCCCCTTACATTGATATCAATGAGAAGACTTTCCTTACATTGATATCAGTGGAAAAAGACTGCCCCTTACATTGATATCAGTGGAAAAAGACTGCCCCTTACATTGATATCAGTGGAAAAAGACTGCCCCTTACATTGATATCAGTGGAAAAAGACTGCCCCTTACATTGATGCTGGTGGGAAGAAGACTGCACCTTACACTGATATCACTAGAAAAAGACTGCTACTTACATCAATATAAGTGGAAAACTGCCCCTTACATTGATATTGGTGGGAAGTAGACTGCTAGCTACACACCACCTGAATTTTATTAATAGGTGGTCTGCGGTGTGTGTAGTAAAGGGGATCATGGTGGAGAGTGGATAGCTATATACAATGTCCATTATAAATAAGGCCCACAGTTTATATCTAGACCAATATAATAATGATTACAATATTATAGGTGTGGTCAGCTTAGACAGGCTGTAGCACTAAGTGCCATTCACTGTTGTTGTGTTCGTTACTGTGCTGCCCTGACTCCTCTGATAGGCCAGTACACAGCAAGATGAACGAAAGCATAGATGGTCATGTGGTCTTTTTTCTCTCCAGACTTAAGTTAGAAAATTTCAGATAAATGTATGTAGCTTCACATCATGAAATGATCCTTTTTTGGGTATTGCGGTAAATGAAATTACCAGTGACTAGCAATATAAAGATAGTTGTTATATGTGGAGCACAAAAGGACATGTCAGGTATAGGTCACTGCCTATCAATTCAAAGCACATTGGTACTAGAAAGAGAGGTCAGGGATGCATATTCTGAGCATAACTCAGGGTTTCATACTACCAGCTTACAGTTTATCAGCATTTATACCCATCTTCCATGTATGATCCCAGTATGCCCAAAGGATGAAAACAAAGAGGCAGCCAATAGACACTGTTGAAAGGGGACCTACACGAATACTTCACTCCCTCATTCACAGCTACCCCAGGGTACAAGCTAAGATTTTTTCCTCCACATGTGGCATTGACTTGCATTCCAGCAGATATTCCTCACCTACCTTAAGTGATTCCCAATTATCTTGAGCCGAGCCCTCAGACCATGCGAGACTATGGATCAGATCATAGACATTATAACACTTCCGAGAGCCCTGATAATATGTCAGATGTCCTGGCAGAATTTGGGGTTCTACTACTTACCATCCAAAGCTGACTTTGATGTACTTGTGTGCACAGTGGAGGCTACCCTGCAAAAAGACATCTGGGGGCTATGCCAAAACATGAAAGACCTCTTACTGCAGAGATACAGCAGGCCACCCAGCAGCAAACCACCATGTTCATTCCCTCGAGTGTGAAACAAGCATTAACATGAACTAACTCATATGGCTACAACTCCAGCCTGAAAACCTGAAGGATTGCAATATTCAGCTAAAGGGTCTTTCCGAAGCATTCCTGTCTCCCAAATGAAGGACGCGGTTCTCGCTATTTTCCAGTGCCCCTCAGGGGAAGCCTGCCTGCAGGAGATAGTGCTTGACAGGATCCACTGTGCCCTTCAGCAACTAGCACCCAACTCCAGTAGTAATAGGGGTCACTGTGGAGAATGGGGAAGGGCCCCTGTTGTTTGTTGTTACGCAAATGCATAGCAATGTCACTTTACTGTGTTACATGTGATGTTCTGGAACAATAATTGGCAAATCTATTAAGTTTTGCCCAGAGATGGGCTTTAACCTTCTTCACTCCTCTAAAAGGCTTACATTGCTTCTCTTTGTGCACTAGAGTTCGGGCTTGTTTCTTTATCTTGGTATCTTCCACCAATTCAAAAATGTACAGTTCTTAATAGTAGACAACATAGTCATGTCTTATTTCAACTGCTCCATTATTAACCAATGAAGCCCTTGATTTTTTTTGTACATGCAGACCTGGACAAGAGGCATGACAAAGCACTGGCCCATTCAAGAGCTATTTGATAATTGTTTTGCTGTGCTATGTACAGGTCCTGTATAAATGCAATTGTAAGTTGATATTAAGTTGGAATTATTGTTATTCTCTTTAGTAAAGATTGGATTGCTTTATTTATGTTCATAAAGACACTGTAATCTGTAAAGGAGTTTCAAGATTCTACATGATCATATTCATGATGAAAAAGAGAACATTACAGTCATTCTACAAATGTCTATATTGCCCTATAGTGACAGGACCTTGAAAGCATAAGGCTTTGGGTAGTAGTGGAAATAATGGAGCTAGTCTGCTCAGCTTTCTAGTACACCAGGCAGGCAGGCATAAAGAGTCCTTATACAATACAACTTCCTTCAATAAAACACAATGTCAAATATGCATTTTCACTTTTATGAATAGACTTTTTAAATTTACTGTATGTTATATCTGAACTTCAGGCTCATGCCCACTTATCACCCTTAGCTCCCTTTCTCTATGGACAATAAAACCCTATTATGTTTTCACAAATAATACATTACTTTTTGATTAATAAATGCTTCTTTTTGTGCAACTTCTTCAGATACTTTTGCATAGTTTATTAGGCCTGGGTGCCGGAAGAATCAAAGCAAGCGGCGTATCATATCCAACGTGTTTCCAAGGAGGAATTATGAACTACATATCCCTTGATTACATAGAAATCCAATGACATGCTGGGCGTGCATGTTGACGTTGTTTCCAATCACTGGTTGTGGGTGGGTCTTGACTGGGAGCTCTGTTATAGTACCTCCCCACAGAAAGAAGATGTGATGTCACACTGCTGAAAACTATAGATAAGAAAACAAAATGGCTCCCCACCGAATTTAGTCCTATGGAGAAAACAGTGGTGCCTGGTTGCGATAAACCGTAGAAGAAAAAAGGGACTATTTGGGGGATAGAAATAGGGTACAATTGGACTAAAAAAAACAGTGGGTTATGACTGGCCCCTCGGCCTACTGATTGGCTAGGAAGCCGGCTTCACTTGTTGCTAGGGAGCCTGTCTTCCTAACCAATCAAGAAGCCAGGCGTCACATAATGACAGGCTTCCTGATTGGTCAGGAAGCCAGGCTGCCCAGCCACAAGTGAAGCCGGCTTCCTAGCCAATCAGGAACTCAGATCATGAAATGCCACCCGGCTTCCTGATTGGTCAGCTTTCTAGCCAATCAGGAAGCTAGGCGGCACGTAATGACCCACCTCCCGGCATCCTGATTGGTCAGAAATCAGGCTGCCCAGCAACAAGTGAAGCCGGCTTTCTAGCCAATCAGGAAGCCGAGCGGCACGTCATGACGTGCCTCCCGGATTGGTCAGGAAGCCAGGCTGCCTCGGCCAGTGAAGTCGGTGTTCTATCGGCTTCCAGCTTTCCAGGCAATCAGAAAATTGGGTAGCGGGTCATGGTCCGCTGCCTAGCTTGCTGATAATCAGGGCACACATATATAAAAAAAAATCACAGCAGACAGAGTTGGGTTTCCCTTTAATGATTCTCACAGGTCTGCATACCTGGGAACCTAACTGGCTACACAAAACATTAGGTGGTTTAACTCTCCAACATCCACTGAATTATCAGTTTTGAGTTGATTAACCATTAAGCTTTAATGGCCAGTTTAACATATAGTACATACCATGGTGAATAGTACCTCAGGTAGCACACACTAAAATGAGACATCATTTTTGTTAACTCCTTACATATACATATATATTTATTAAGAAACCCATTTTCCTGAAAAGATCAGGGGCTTTTTAAAGCTTTGGCAAATACAAATTATGACAAACTGTTCCAGGTTTTATACAAAATGATACCACAATTTAACAAATAAAACTCCAAGCAGCTGTTTGTTTCAGACATCAGGTGGCAAACTGGTCAAGTGCACAAAATATTGCTGGAATGAGAACTTTAAACTAAAATTGGCGATCATACAAAAGGAAAATAAAGTGTTCTAACCACTGATGATACTAAGTTTACAGTATATGAAAATGACTAGTGTCCTTACAAGGCATGCTTTGTGTTCTAAGGGCTTATACACACTGTGCTTCACAACAAATGTTACACAAATGCACACTGAATGAGTGTGTGGCAGTGCCTTCCCATGGGTTGGCCACTATACCACCATCTACAGTGTAGTGCAATGCATATATACATAATGCTCTGTGCATTGTGGTGCAATGCATTTTGAAAAATCTTACAGGACTTATTTTTTTGTTTGTTGAGAGCCCATTTAAAATGAGTACGCTGCCTAAACCAACACACCTCGACACATCAAAATGCATATGTTGCAGGCGCTGAGACGTGAATGGTACATTGGCCCAGAACCAGCAAGCTGCCTATAGGCAATACAGAGAAAGCAAATCTAGTCTGCCCTACTTTCCCCAAGTTAGAAAGAAGGGGAGAAAGTGCATCTGTTATAACATATAGGTGCCTACTTTTGAGGTGTAGTACCTTCAGTGACCATTTGGAGGATATGTAGGCTCTGAATTTCTAGAACTGTAGATGTACACTGTAAATCAGACCACCATCTGAGACCCATGTGTAAAATAACATGGTGATAAAGAGACAATGTTGACTGGAATGCACGCATTGGTCTCAAGCAATGGTCCATTTTGAATTTGATCACATAGAAAGCTGCTTTTGGCTTGATTCATTCTGATCAGTTTCAGAAATTAAGAATCGGTAGCCTCCTACATTACTAGGCAAGCAAAGAAAGTTCTTCTCTCTGTCTCTGCTATTGACTTTTGAGCTTGCAAACGTTAGAAGAAATGGCGTATTGCATACAACATAAGACTTCATTGAAAAAAAAAACGCTTTCCTGGCCAATAGCACACTCTATATCAGTTTTTCGCAACCTTTTTTTTCTGTCAAAGCACCCTTTAAAAGAATGCAAAACCTTGGAGGCCTCAGTCTAAAACATAAAAAAACCCACAGCATGGCAGGGGGTGGGAGGTGGAGCAGGCCTGAACATCCATCCTTTTCTGAACAGATCCCACCCTACCAGGATTATCATCATTCTTTTTTTTTATGGTGCTGGCGGCCAGCTTGCCTGCACCATGGAAAGGCATGACACTGTGCAAAAATTTCAAGGCACCCCTGAGGAAGCCAGAAGGCATCCCAGGGTGTCACGACACCTTGGTTGAGAAAGACTGCTCTATACACCCGTTCACTGTACAATAACAAAAATAGGATATGTGCATGCAGCAAAGGAGCAGCACATATCAACTTGCATAGAGACACTAATCTGCTTCGAGGTGAGTGTGCATGAGCATTTAGGTTTTGCTCCTGAATTCAGTTTGGCAAGCATTTTTGACAGATGTGGAATAAAGTGTTTGAATTTGAAACTGGACTTTATGCATTATACAAGTCAGTGTGAACGCATCTTAAACAAATCCCACACTGAACTTAAACTGGCCATTTGCAAGTGACTTTCCTGTAATTGATTTGCTTTTGAGTCTGAGGCACATGTATACTAGCCATTATTCACACAATTGCAACAGAGGAGACTGGAAGCAAAGCTGACAGTGAGTACAAGGTCAAATCCAACAGGACTAGTAACATTTATAACTGCTAAAATGTAAACCAATTTGACAAATGTGAAATTGCACCTATTCGTTTGATAACAAGCCAAATACAACTAATTGCCAACTGCGATTTAAAATTCTGACTTGCTGTTGTGTTTTTTATACTAAGGAATGTTTTGGCACCCACCAGATTTACCACCTATACCGCACTTTTTCAACTGCAGAAAACTTTGTATGTTTGTTTGTTGACAATGTTACAAATGGGCATTATATATAACATTACATCTATCGATCCTAAAAATCCCAAGTATTCAAATTTAATAATAAAATGAAACCAATTTGAAGAACAAATCCAGCCATAACTTGTTTTCTCATTTTGGATAGGCTTGGTAAGAGAAGAGCAAACAGTTCTGTCATGTTTTTATTGCTCTTCGAAACTGCTGGGGAGATTTTACCCGACTTCCTGACCCTGTGACACCAGGACAAGAAAAAAAAAAAAAAAATGGAGACAGAAACACTCAGATGTAAATACCAACCTGACAGAGGTCCTAAACTTTCAGCACTTTACTAAAAAAAAAAAAAGAAACTATTTAGTTGCAGTCTTTGTCCCCATTGGAGAGATTTCTATAATTTCTTATCACGACAGGAAGTGAGGGGCAACCTCCCAATGCATACACAGATTTACAAAAAAAACGTGACAGAAGTTCTAGCCCTTCCATGTTCTGTCCAAAAGTGAAAAAAAAAATGTTGGTTTAGGTTTGATTACAAATGCAATTTTCATTAGAAACAAAGATAGATCATTTGTGTACTGCTTAAGTTCCCATAAAGTAAAAAGCTGCTTCCTAAATGGTAGCTTCATTAGCCATCATATTACAGCTGTACCAATGTCATTTGAACAGTTAGATTATACATTTTCCTATGTGAGCCATGTTCAAGAATATAGCCTTACATTATACAAAAGTGCTGTACAATTTAGTAGGAGGAATATAGGCAATATGAATTTAAATACAGGTTGTCACTATGTAAGCCTATTTTACAGAAAAAAAGACTGACAAAAAAATGTAACATGGTTCTAGTGTACAGGAACTGCCACAGCACCTCTTTAAAATGTAAGCATCTGCTCATTACATGGGGTAAAGATACACGTCTAGGAAAAAGAACTTGAGGTTTTACAGCCATTTTATCAGCCATTATGTTTTTAAAGAAGGCGTTGCACGAACAGGGTGAGAAAATCATCATAACTCAGTTTTGCACTGCCGGATCGCGCTGTGTCTTTTTCCCGAAATGCTTCGGTCATACTCTGCAGCTTGGTACAAACTTGTATAAAGCCATCTAGCTGCAAGGTCATGTTGGCAGAGCGGGGAGCATGTAGGGACATCACATGCTGCACAAACTGTGGGCTCAGACTGAATCCCATCTGGTTAAGAGCTGTGAAGAGATAAGACCCACAATGTAAGTGGATAACCTTAAGGAAAAAGCAGAAATACATGTATCTGACAGGTGAGTCTATACATCCGATTAGTCAATGTATCTATCCATCCAATAATTTCTCTGAACAGATGGATCTATATAACCTGTCTGGTCATCATAGCCGCGCCCGTCATCTACTTGACCAACCAAATTACATTGGTGAAGGGAAAAAAAAAAGAAGTTTTAAGAAAAGGATTTCTGCATAAACAGCTGACACAATGCGACTTGATATTCATCTAAAGCGGACCATACTGCATGCGAATTTCAGCCGGTTCTTTAGGAACCAAAATTCATGCCAAAATGCGCATAGTGGGTGCTGCCTGTTGGCACCCTTTCTGCCAGCGACCCTCGATCAGCTGATCAAAGTAGACTGTTAGAAAATCTTGGAACGAACAGAGCCGAAAAAGCCAATGAGATGCCGGGTCTGTATGGGTATTCTGACAGAAACAGAACAAACAGCAGGGATTCCTCCATTAACGCGCTTGTAGCGTTAATAGAGGAATCTGTTCTCTTGTTTTTTTTCGTTCAACCTGCGGACTGAACAGCGTATGGGCACTTTTATTTAATGAACAATGCACATAACATTTTACACTGCCAACCTGTTAAATAAACCAATGTCAAGATATCCCAATGAATTAACAAGTCTTCACAAGAGAATTCTGAGGTGTCCGTTGACCTGAATAAAAGAAGTCTAAGAGGAACTAAGAGAAAGAGTTGTTCAAGCACAAAATGGAAAAGGTTACCAAGGATTTAGAAGATGTGGGCCTGCATCTGTCCACAGACAGGCAGACAGTTAACAATTTAAAGAAATTAGGCCTGTAATTGTTCCTCTAAGTGTGGGAATCGTGCAAAGACCAGTACACGACTACACGGGCATCTTGTACTGCTTTTTACTGTAGGGGTGCCTGGAACTACAGGAAGTGCTCTACATCAATGCCCGATTCATTAAGGATTGTGGACAGGGCCGGCCTTAGGCTTTTAGGAGCCCTGTGCGAGAAAGCTTTACAGCGCCCCTCAGGTGACCACACCCCTCAGTGGCCACACCCCCAGTAACCACACCCATTTCCCCCAATATCCGCACCATTTAAAGACTCCTATTTTAGCCGCAAACAAAAATATATTAAAAAGTATGATAAAATAAAAAACTTTTATTCAAAGGTATTAAATTGTAGGCACAATATAAGTATTCTTATCAAATAAAACAACAGAAGGTAAACAATAAATGTCAAACTAAAATAGAATCTATACAAAAAGTGTCAGGATGTCATGCCGACCCTTTTTTCAAGTCAGTATATCTAGAAAAGTAACAATAAAAAACAGAACATATAACCTAGACCACGTGTTAAATTAAAGGAGAACTATGGGGTCAGTGTTTTTCCCCATAGTTCTCCTTAGGGTAACAGGAGGACACAAACTAGTGTCCTCCCGTTACCCTAAGCTCAGTATACCACCAGCTACAGCTCGCGGTATACTGAGACGTCGCAGCGGATCCCGACCTACATGACGGGATCCGCCCAGCTGCGTGAGTGACAGCTGGCTCTGCCTATCTAGAGGCAGAGCCAGCTGTACCTGCCCCCTCCCCCGTCCGTTCCGCCAGTCATGCTGGCAGATCGGAGCGGGGAGAGGGGAATCCAGCCCCTCCCCCTGTCACGGCAGAGAGCCGTGACAGGATCGAGAGGCGAGCGAACCTGGTATGTGTTCGCTCACCTCCCGATCTACTGAGCCGACCTGTGACAGTCTCATTGTCACAGGTCGGCTAGAACTATGAGGTGAGTGGAAATCACTCATGTCATAGTTCTCCTTTAATGAATTACCATTTGCCAGAATATACGAAAAACATGTATTCAGGCACATAATAATAATAATAATTTGTTTTTCGAATGTGCGGCTGCCATGTTGGCCACCGGCGTGTTCTGTGAATGCGTGCCACCATCTTGGAGGCAGGGAGCATGACGTTACATGACGCCATGCATGCGTGGCGTCAGACGCCGATATAGGCGCCGCCATCTTGGTGTATACCTAGATATACACCAAGATGGCG